TGTTATATATATATATATATATATATATATATATATAAACAAACAAACCAAAAATAGATACAGACAAAAAGGGGGAGAACAAGGAACTGCCGGCCGCCCCAGCTCCCCTCCCCCTTCACTCATAGCGCCGCATACGCACACACACACACACAGCCCTGCTCAGTGTAAAAGTGTCACTCCCTCTCTTTTTTCTTCAATTTGCCTCTGTCCTCGTTGTTGCTCTTTTCCCGCTTGAAGGCATTCTTCCTGTACTGTTCCAGTTCGTCTTCCTTCTGCTTTTGCACGGCATCGATGGTTGGCTCCCCAAACCCGTTTTCACCCGTGTCATACAAACGCTTCAAAAACGAGTCATTATGCGTTCGAGTCTCTGATTGCTTCGCCGAAAATGTGGCATCTAACGACGCCTTCCAGCGGTCAAGTTCCGTGTCTCCAGTGGACTGAAAACTCCCCATGTCGCATACTACCGGCTCGCCAATGTCAGCAAAGGTGTCCGCACTTGGAATGACAAGAACAGCACCGCGCTCAGGATCCAATTCAATGTGTTTTAAATCAAAGTTAGACACAAAAATGAGATGATTCATTACCGCGCGTAACTTTGTTGTGTCTGCCTCAGACGTGAATATCAAATAACAGCCGTACATGTGTGCAATAAAACGCATGCAGCGTACCAATGTCTTTAACATCGTCATGTCCCCTGCAAAAGCATCTAATTTGTTGCAGATAATAATGGTTGGAATCCCAGAAAGGCGCAGGCGATCCATGTCGGGGTGATCCATGCCCAGTAGACGCTTGGCTCGAGTCAGGAGCTTCTCCGGCGTTGTTGATCCCTTGGCACGCATCTTTTGCAATATCTCCATGACGCGGCGGTCCACACGCTTCACCCAGTACGCCACTGTATCCCACATGGTCGATGGCTCAGAACAATCAACCACAATAGCCAGCAGAATCGTGTGCACATTCTCCGGAGTAACAACCACATCGCAAAGCTGCGACAATTCCGTCCCTTGCGCCAATTCCCAGAAGTGTGCCACCTGTGGAATATGTCGGTCATTACGTCTTGCAAATGAGTAATCCAACGCGGTGGTGGGCTTTACCTTGAGAGAACTCTTTGGAATGGAGGAGCTGGCGGTGTTCATACCAGAAAAAAGACGACGCAGAATGCTAGTTTTCCCACCACCGGAGGTTCCAACAATCAAAGCATTTACCTCCGTCTGTGTCACCTGGTTATCCCTTGTGTTGAGTATTATGTTCTGCCACAAGTCCTTTGTAGAGTCAATGATGACATGTGGGATTGCTGGCCCCTCTTCAGGGGGCGTCGCCTCGCACTCGAGGTGCGCCGCATCTCCTTGCAGGGTATCGTTGAGAACACTGGGATTTACACCCGTGTCCCCAGGGCTGTCCTTCTTTTCCTCCTGAGCAGCGCTGCCGTACCCCTTCGTTTCCATCGCAATAAACGCTACCACTACCAAGTAGCTGACAACACGACACTCCACCCTTTTCTCTCAGAGAGAGAGCACGGGAACAGCGCACCTATATGGTGTTTTCTTCTCAGCTGTTGTTGCCTCTTTCCTACTTACAATCGCCTTCCTTCTCAGCCTTTCACACCCTACCCAAACAGAGGCTGTGACGAGGTCAGCGACGCTTAGGCCCAGGCCACACACGTGCACGCATACACCAAACCGGTAGTCGCCCAAAGTGAAGAAACAGAAGGAAGGAAAAAATACGCTGCCGTGTCAGTCTCAACAAGTTGGAGAGGGTGCTGTAAGATATTTTAAAAAGGGCGGCATCCACGAGAGGGCCACAGATGTAGATCAGCAAGAAACAACAGTGGTCAAACGTCTTAAGCAACATAGCAACCACGATCCTGTCGTGTTGTTTATCTCTCTCTCTCTCCACTGTGCCGCGTCCATCTCAGTGGATGGTTCTTTGTTTGCCACCTACAATTTTTGGTTTGGGTTTTGTTTGCCCTCCCGTTTTGGATAATGGAGGCAGTGAAAACGAACAAAAAAAAAAAGAGGGCTAGCAGACACTGTCACTACCCGTGTTTTTAACGGAGAGGCTGGCGGCGTTCAGCCACCGATGACCGGGAGGTGAAGAAGAGGTGGCAGCTGAAGGAGAATGCCAAAGATGGCAGAAGAGGAGGCGTAAAGGAAACACGGCAGACCAAGCCGAAGAAGCGGTGGCCTCTATTCCTCTTTTGTCATTCCTCAGCTTCTCCTCCATCCGCTGGCATCGCGTTTGTTTAAGTGGGGCAAATCCTCTCCGCGCCGCCTTCCCCTCTGCCCTCTTGACTGGGAAGCTTCACAGGGTGTCTCACAAACAAACACACACACAGAGGGATAAGAAAACAAAAAGATGAAAAAAAAAAGTGAAAAGGGCAAAAGACTTCTTATAAATAACGAGGGAGTCGATGTTTTCTTTGAATTTCTCACATTTTTTTTCCCCCTTTGTTTGCTTGCTTGCTTGCTTGCGTGTGTGTTCGTTTTTTTTTTTTGGGGGGGGGGGTTTCGAGTGTTTGTTTGTTTCTTCTGCTTCACGTGCCACACGTTGAAGCATTTTAGCGCGTCGGATGCCCCATGCACACACACACACACACGGCGGCAAATACACATACATATAGTACATATACATATGACTTTCAGTAATTAAATGGTTGCGTGTCCATCGAGTCATAAACGCGTGGCTGCGTCTTTGTTTTATTGTTCCCTGTGTCTTTTTGTTTTTAATTGCGTATTTGTTCCCTTGCCCGCTGCATTTGCGTTTGCACACGACACAAAGCATATAACAGCTTGGGAGAGAGAGAGGGGAGGTGAAAAGGAAGGGCACAAATACAGGAGCCTCTGGAACAGAATAAATAAAAAGTTAGCGGCATGTCTCCAAAAATGGCACATCCGCGGCGGGAGACCGCAGCCGTTAACCTGCGATCTGGACCAGGACGCGGTGTGAGGCACGACTCTGCCTGCCGCGCAGAAAGGGATGGGGGAGGCACTAAGGCACACGTACCCTCACGCTCAGAGTGAGAGGGGCGCCCACCGCCTCCACAGATTAGAGCGAACAAAAATAAAAAAAACAAATACGCAAAAATAAAAATAAAACCCGTCTGGCAAAGCTAAAAAAGAAATCCACACAAAAAGTACCTGAATGACTTCTGCTGCTCCTTCTGAGTGTCCCCACCTGCCCGCCCAACTTTCGCGGTGCAGAGAGAGATGTCCCGGCAGAAAGGGAGGCGGCATGACCCGGAGAGCCACGCACGCAGAGCAAAGAGTTCAGCACAAACCCTCAGCGGCCCAACATTGAAAGAGTTTGAAAAAAAAGCAACAAAAAACAAAAAAAATATAAAAAAACACACTGACGGCCTAAAGCCGTGGCAGTTTCAACAATGACAGCCGTGCGTCAGACAGGAGCAAGTCAGGAGCAGAATGAGGGTACAGAGTAAAAAAATAAAAAATAAAACAAAAACATACATAGCGAGGGAGAAAGAAAAAGAGAGAGAAGTCCCCATAATTATATATACATATATATAAACAATAAAAATAAAAAATAAAAATAAAAAAGAAATAAACGAAGAGGCCCGTCAGTCCTGGCGGAATACAATGCATGCAACCGGCCTGGACGGGTGCCGGGCCGTACACACTCGTACAGTGAGTAGTGTGTAAAAATACGCGTACGCTTAGTGGTGGTGGTGTCGGAAGAGGAAGTCGCAAAAAAAGAAAAAAAACACGCAGAAAAGGGCAGACTTACCCTTCCAACGGCACACACCCCATAAACGACGGCAACAGGGACGACGAAAGCTCATATGAAACACAAACAAACGCAGATACAACAGTAGAGATGACCGAACCAAACAAAAAAAAAAGCCAAACAAACAAAAACACACACACAAAGAGGGGAAAAAAACAACGACATCGGGGAGAGGGAAAATGTGTTAGTTCACGGGAGCACACGCGACAATAATTCAAATAACAAGCGTGTGCGAGGCACAGGAACGCGGCAAACAGACAGAGGCATCAAAGAGAAGCGGGCAAGCGACAGACAAGGGGCAACTAACCCCTGAAAAGCCATACACGCGCGCACGCGTGCATGCAACCCTTCGCTTTACCGTCACCGTGCAATTCCACCTACACACCACGTAATCACGCGCGCGTGGATAGACGGGACAGCAGCAGTCACGGCTGGCAAGCGAAGAGACGTGTCCTGTCGCAGCCTTTCATACATAAAGGGCCTCCGCCACGTCTATTCCTCTCGTTTCTCATCAACGTATTGTTATCATCATTTTTTGTTCTCCTTTTCTTTCCTGTTCGAACGCAGCCTCGTCTTCACGCCTGTGAGCAGCGCCAGTTGCGTTACTTTCTGCCCCACACAAATTACGACGGTTTCGCCCTTGTTTTGTTGTTGTTTTTATGCATTGTTTCAGCAATACTTCCTCGCAAACAGATAGACGGCGCGCCACAACCGGCGCAGCAGGCGGGGTAGTGGCAGTGGGAGAAGAGGAAGGAGAAGCGATGAAAAGTTCGGTGCGTCCTTCCTACCCATCACTCGTGGAGTGGGGGCGACGAAGGTCTTCTCTCCTCCTCGCTTGCCCCGTTGCGGCTGAATGTGCGCTCACGTGTCTGCTTTGTTGGGAGGCACAGCACCCTCCCGCACAAATCTCACCGGTTGTACCACCACACTTCACCGCGCCACCGCCATCAACTCACACACGCAAACACAAAGATACACACCTTTGTGTCTGTCTGTCAGCAGCCTTAATGACGCCGCTGATAGTCCCACGGGTAAATATCCGTCACTCCGCAGTACCACCCATTTCGCTGATGGGTAAATATAAAGAGAAACACAAAAAAAGGCACGGGCGCCTGTATGTACATTTAAAAAGGTATAAAAAAAAAAAAACGTTCGCATGGAAGTTGCTCAATAAATATTTTTTTCCTTTTTTTTTGTTTTTTTTTGTTTCGTTCTCTCTCACACATGTAGTTTACTTCCCTCCATGATGGAACTAACAGAAAAACCCAGCCAACACAGAAACACACACACACACACACGTACGCACACTCGTCAGATGTTTCAGTAACACAGTCGGGATTATTATTGCTATCATCGTTCCCCCCCTCCCCCTCCCCCTCTCCCTTCTCCTTTCCTTCTTTCTTTCTCGCTGAGTCTCCCTCACTGACCCTTCCCTCTTCCACCCATACACAAGGAGAGAGGTGGGAATGACAAATAAAACCAAAAGCAAAGTCAACAACAAGGAGTAAAAATAAATAAAGAGAGAACCACAAAAAGGAGATACAACACAAAAAACTTGCAGATCGTGTGAAAACAATACGCATCAAATACATCCCCTCTCTCTCACACACACACAATGAGAAAGGGAAAAAGAGAGCAAGATATCATGGAAAAATGAAGTAAAAAAAAAAAAAAGATGTAAGACTTCTCCTCCCCAGTCAGTGACAAGGCGCTGAGAGCCATGAGTCGTAGTTTGTAGGTGGACTGCAACACACGTCAGCGTACTCCTCCGTGTCACTGCTGCACGGTGAGCTGCTTGCCCATCCGCCGCTCTCTGGTAAGGAGTCAAGCGAAGGTGACAGAGCGTCGTCGAGCTCCACCGCAGGCTGCTCGGGACACGCGGTGAAAGTGGGTTCGTTCAGGTGCGCCACGTTCATCGCAATTGGCGACGTTCTGGCAACAACGGGCTTCTCCATCACCTCCCACTCAGTTGCCGTGCCAGCAGAGGAGGAAGTGTCCAGCGGGGGCACCTCGACCTCAGCTGGCAGAAAGTATTGTTTCTGCTTCTTCAGCTCATCCAGTTGTTGTAAAACCTTTTCCTTGTTCCGCTGCAACTCGCTGGCGCGAGAGACACTGTCAAAGAAAATGTTGCCCAAATCAAAAAGATACATTCTGTGGAACTTCATCCGCGCACTCAAATAGCCCCACTCATCAAGTTCCTCCAGAAGGCATTGAGAAACAGTACGCCACCGTCGCAGCGCCTGCAACACTTCTTCCTCTCCCGTACCGCGGTGACGTAGGTGTAAGAGGTGCCTGCGGCGCGCCTCGCTCAGTAAGAAAACAAGCGCGGTGCGCCCGCCACCAGGTGAAAGACTTTCCTCTTGCTGATGCTGCAGACGCCACCTACGAGACGCAGTGTCTTGTTCGCACGCGTAAGACCTCTGCTCCCCCTGCTTCACCCCCTGCGCACGGCCCCCGCAGCACACGCCTTCCTCTTTACTGTCATTGCTGCAGCCTACACCCGCCGTATTGCGGCAATACGGTCGCTGGCTGAAGACGTACTGTGAGCTCTCCTCGATCCCCGAGTCGTAGTCAAACTCTAAGTACTCCTCCTCCGCTGGAGAGACCTCCTGCGGCTCGACGCACGAGACCCACCCGGGTTGGGAGTCGACGACGTCCTGTTTTTCGTGTGAGCTGTAGCCCTCTTCGCACGGCATCAGGCACGACGGACGCGCCCAAAGCGAAGCGGGTAAGCAAACAGTAGAAGTAAATTTACGACCCCGCCGGCTGCCACAACTCAAACCGCTGTACAGCACACGTTGGCCCGGAAACACGCCTAACACAACAACCGCCACACAGACACACAAAATAAATAAAAACACTATAAAAACTAAAAAGGAACGTAAAACAAATTGAAAGCACACACTTAAAGATATATATATATATATATATCTTACTTGCTGGCCTGCACCGCGGTCGACGGTGGTGTCAACGGCTTGTGTGGGTTGGTTCGTTGATCGGTTGGTTGTGCGTGTGTGGAGTTTCTGCTCTCCACGCGTGTTCCCTCTCTTGCCCGAGTGGCCCTGGACCCGCAACCCTACACGTACTTCTTCGTTCACGCCTATCCTCCTTGGTTGGTGCCCGTCGCAACGTCACCTTCCTTTGCCTGCTGCAGCCAAAAACACGCCGGCACCTCGGAGGAATGCAAGAGGAAAAAACGTCGTTGCGTTCACGCAGCCGAACAATATATGAAGGTAGATGTATTTATGTGTGGCAGTAACTATTTGCAGCGTCACACAAACAAGCCACACAGGCAAACAAAAAAAAAATGCACACACACAACGCAGCAAGAACGACAAAATAAGGCTCAATGAAAAAAAAAATCTACACGAGTTATACGCCAATAAACAACCTCAAAAAAAGAGAGAAAGAGAGAAAGAGAGAAAGAGTAATGCCATCAAACAGACCAGTCGGGGGGGATTCTACGCAGGCATCAGGCAAAACAGGAGTCAGCAGGAAAGAGAGACAGGGGGGAAGCAATACGGGCACCTCTACATCTACACGCAGCGCACCTTTCAGAGCGTGCGACCAAACAACTAAATAAATAAACGAAGAAAAAAGAAAAGAAAAAAAAAAGATATCCTCTTCATACTGCTGCATCACCCACATGTAATATTAATCTCCCTGGATGCAAAGTGCTTGTCTTCTACCTGTCTGCCCGGCAAGGGCGACTCCAAACTGGACCGGCAAATGAATGGCACACGCGAGTGCGCCCGGCGACAACGCCCGCACACACGCAGAGAGCATACCACTATTCTGCATCTCACCCATTCTTCTAATCCCTCCCCCTCTCTCCAATCCGGTCACCACTACCAAGACGCATTCAGCCAGCGAACCGTCCGCCCATCCACCTCAACGCACCACCCGAGGTACATCTCCAGCCTCGCGCTCCTTCCGCAACAGCTCATCTTCCTCGGCTAGTATGCGTGAGAGAATAATCTGTTCCACCATGGCATCAAATGCCTCCTTAAAGTTGCTGCTCTGATAATCTAATGAAGTCTCAATGGCGCGCACACCCCTCAGTTGTTTGGGCAGCGCAGGAATGGCGTTGTCGCCAACAGCCAATTCCGGCATCGAGGAGTGATGCGAAAAAACCAAGGAGTGCTTGTCCGAAACACGCATCTTAAAATTATTGCTTTCGTCCAGCTTGTCCTGATCGAGTGCAAATTTCTTGTACCACAGCAAGAGCTCCTTTTCCGACCCCCGAACTTCCGGGTTAAAAACGTAAATAATGCCATCCGCGTTGGCCGCCACGGCCAACCACCCTGCCTGATGTTTGCTGCTGCCGCCAAGATCCCACAGCTGAACGATGGCCCGCTTTGGGCCTGCAACATGGCGGCCGCCCACCTGAAGGTTGTCGAGGCCTATCTCCACCTCCAGTACGCGGAGGGGGTTGGTCTCGTAGTACTCCTTCGTCGGCGTATCGCGGATCCCGGCGAGGAAGTTCGCAATGGTGGATTTTCCCGACTTGCTCGGGCCCAGGACGAGTATTTTCACCTTTTCCTCCGACATGGCCTCACTCAATTTATGCTACCACCTTCGGTTTGCTGCCCACTGTGCCACTTTCTATCTCTCTCTCTCTCTCGTTGGATGCGTGGATGTGACTGGAGCACGTGTACACCTGCCTGAAACGCAAGGGACGCACACCACCGCCTCCCCCTCCCACGAATTCACTGCAGAGCAGAAGCAAAGGCAAAAAAAAAAAAACGTTCAAAGGTTGGGGTGTAGTTCACCCGCACTAAGGCGGCAACGCAAAGAGAAAAATGTGGCAGCAAGCCTATGCAAATGCACTTCTCTCTCCCTCTCAACCATCTGCTGCAAGCAGAGACATGAGAAAAGTGGAAAGAGTGAGCAGACGCGAGGGTGGTAGAATAAAAACAAACAAAAAAAACATACACACAAAGCAAAACTAGAAGACAACAGCAACACAAGCAACAACCACTTGAGCTAAAACAAGCATTTTTTTTTTTTCAGATGGACATATACATGAGTACCTCCAAGTACAACTTCACTTAGCCCCAGAGGGGCACATAGATGGGGAGTGAATACCAGCAGCAAACGAACAAAAACAAAAAAAATGCAGGCACCTCACAATTGGCCTTCCTACTTTTCCGCCTTGTTTCCCTCCTTCAGCCGTGCCAGTAACGCCCCCACCGATAGGTCAACAGACGGGTCGGCGTAGCGGATAATACCACTTGCCGTCATGGAGGCCGGACCCCATACCGCGTGGCGCCTCCCATCCAGAGATTCAACCAGACAGGTGTAGCGACGAAAGTCCAACTCTCCGTGGCCCCCAGAAAATTTGTTCCACTTCTCTTGTAGTGCAGAAAGAAGTGCATTATTTTCCTTAGAGGACGCCGGACGAGTTCCACGGCGAATAAGTAACTTACTGCGTAAGTACTTGGCCACTGCCATCACCGGCACGCACGGCACATGCTCTAGCACCAGGGAAGCCTTACCTGCTCGTAGATCATCCCAAGATGAAAGCGCCACCCGAATCGCGGGGAGCCAGTATTTTACATCCTCAGCGGCAAAGTGGTTTATCGCCTCGTACAAAAGTTGATGTTCGCTCACAACGCTTGCGCGAGTGGAGTACGTGCAAAAAACATCTTCTATTGTTTGCCAGGAGTCCTCCACATCGTCGCAGATAAATTCATACAAGAGGTGCTTGAAGAGCGTGTTCCATAAGGCGCCGCCGTTCTCCACGGTAAAAGATGCCGAAGACAGGAATAAACGTTCTGGTAGAATAACATTGTAGTTTAGTAACTCGAACGACTGCGTTTGATTCCCGGCATCATTTCGAGCCGCGTCAAGCAACTGCTGTAGCCAAGACAAGGGATAGGAGGGATACATGGCAACTAGGACGCTCGCAAATTGAACCATGGGTATGAGACCCTGCGGCTCACCTGTTGAAACCCGTTCTATATCCAAGAAACGACAGATTGAAATTAGTATGGCGACATCAAATTCCAGCATACGAAAAAGATTTGCGGTTACATGCCCTCTTGCCACTAATCCAAAGGCACGCGTCAGCGATCCACAACAAGGACTACGAGAAACCGCGTCTATTGCGTAGGTCACAGCAAGGTGCTTATTGGCCTTGTCCAAGGCACCATGTTGAAACGATGCCCCTTGGGGGGCATGGGAGTCGAGACCGCTACGGTGAAATGCCTGCAGCACATAGTCGCGAGTAAAGGCATCCAAGGGTTTTGCCTCCTCCTTCCGCCTCCATTCAGAGAGAATGGCATACACAATGTTTTCTGCAACAAGTGGATTAACGCAAACATACTCCACGCTGGAAAAGGAACGTAAGTGTTCAGGGGTCGTTGGGTTGTTGCCTGCCCTTGAAAGCCAAAAGCGGCACAGCGTATTGCTGTTTGCAGCGACATTGGGCTCCAAGAACTCTTTGTTGTTTGTGCCAGAATCACGCTTCCTCTCCAATTCAGTGTCTTCCTTAGATTCTGCTGCGGTCGGGGGGCTCGTCGCATCTCCTTCTGGGCCCTGTAACGCGGAAGAATGTTCCTTCATGACCTTGTCAATATGGAGAAACACCTCCGCTGCCTTCTCAAGTCGCTTCTCACGGAATGAGTCCCACCAGCTCTGAAGCAAAGGGTGACGGTTCATAAAGACCGACATCAAAACATTGCGAGTGATTTGAAGTTCCCGCTGATACCGCTCGTTTCGATGCGTTTGAACCAAAATTTCATTGTCATGCTTTTGACACGCCACCGCGTTGGCAATGTTATGATCCGTGAGCACCGAGAGGCGGGCAGCCAGCTCCACACACTGCTGGGCATACTTCCCATTCAAGGTCATAAGTTCCTGAAGTCGGCGAGTCAGTTCATCCCGCCCCTTTTGCAGCGCCGCCACTTCCCCCTGCAACTCATCAACGGCCTTTTCGTTTGCAGCGCGTGCAATTAACTGCTTAACATAGCACGCATCATTTTTATCGTCGCCAGGCATTATGGAAGGATCATCCGCAATCTCCCTTGCGTGGGACAGGGCAAATTGATGCTTAAGCAGACCCTCCAACTTAGCCTCCCGCGCCTGGGAGGCCACGATCTCCGCCTTGAGGTGGTCGCGCTGCATGGCAGCCTCATCCACTAATTTTGCCATACGCACCTCCATCATGCGCATGCGCTCGTGTGCAGTCGCCACCTCCTCCTTTTCAGTGGCACTCCACAGCGGCAAGCAATTCTGCGTGACCCCGCCTCCGCTTGGGAAATCCACCTTCTTCTCCAGCAATTCGTCGATGAGGCCAAAGAGAAACCCCAGGGTTTTCTGCAGAATGGGCCGATAGATCCCGGAATTGGAGGTAAAGAGTGCAAGTGCCGCCCGCGCCAACTCCACCTTTGTGATCCGTCGCCGCAAAGCCGACGGATTCAGAGACCTGTCCGAAGCACTCATCGCGTGCAATTCCGCGTCTGGTGCATTGCACACACTCCGCCGCTCCACAGCAGCATCATCATCCTCCTCGTCCGAATTGCGATCCAGCTCTGTCAGCCATAATGGGTACGGCCCCTTCGCCTTTCTCGCCACCCCACGGTTGCCCTCACTGCCTACCCCACCAATGCAATCACCAACAGTGCGTTCCTTATTACTGTTGGCGACCGCAGCCTCCACGGACGCCATGAAGAGGTGCTTGTGTTTGCTGCTTCCCCTCTTGCGGTCGCGGTCCATCGCGCCCAGCTCCTCCGCACCGCTGGCGGAGTCCCAGGTGGCCAGTACATGCTGCAGCTGTTGGAGCAACGCAGTCATTGCCCCCGCAACACACACCCTCTGTGAAAAAGAGCGAGAGAGCGGGTGACCGCAAACAAACAAAAAAAAAAAAAGATGAAGCATGACCTGGGCCCCCTGCGGTTGCCAAGCTTTTACCCGCCCACTTACCACATCCCACTCCAAATAAGAGGGAAAAGGCGGTGAGCAATCACAAAAGACAAAAACAAGGATGAAAGTGTCCACAACAAAAAATGTACTTTTGTGCCCACTCCAAGTCTCATTGATCCTCCCATGTCAATCTTTCAGCAGCGCCCAGAGATTTTCCATCCACTGCATCGTCGGCCCTCGAACGGCGTCTTCACGTGACGCCGCCGTGGCCTCGTGGAAGCACCGTTCCACGGCGCCCAGCACCTCTCCCAACCTCATCATTTCTGGCGATCCGCCCCCTCCGTCGATGAGGCCATGCGGCAAAGTGTCACTGGTGTGGAGTTGTCCCAGCACGATAGACTCCAAAAGCTCCATAAACCCGCCTGACGTCATCCCCATTAAGGTGTATGGCTTCTTGACTTTACTGGAGGAGTGGAGAACACGTTGCAACAGCAACAGGCGGGTCACTACGGGGGGAAGCGTCTGCAGGATGTTGTGCCATTCCCCCACTGGTCTCTCGTGCACCTCCTCCGGCAAGCTGTACCACACTGTCAGCTGGTGCAGCTGTCCCTTAAGGGACACGGTGCTACGACCAACTGTCCCATGCGTAGATGTCGGTCCAAATGACAGTACCACATGCGTAATTTGTTGCAGGCAGTTAATCAGGTGCTGCTGTGTGCTTGTCGTAAAGGGGTAGACCAAAGCGACCGCAACGATGAGTCTCGCAAGGAGTTTATTTGTAAGTCCCCTAGATTGCTCATCCAACATGGGTGTTTGTGGCTCAAACAGGTAATAAAAATGGGACATGAAGTGTCCCATTTGGCTGTGCAGCTGCCCTATTCCCGCCGCCGCCTGCTCGGGTGTCCCGTCCACGCACATTAGGACGGAGTCTAGAAGCAGCACCGCCAGAGATTTAAAGAAAGGTTGTACAACATGTTCACTCATGGAAGTAAACTCTTTTGCAAGATCCCGGAGCTGATGATACTTGTCCATCACCACGTTCTGATCACTTGAGGCATATGCAAGCTTCTTCTTCTGTTCCTCGTGTCCTGCGCCAGCGGGAGCCCATCGTTTATTCACAAACCCCGCAGTAAAGGCATTGCCCTCTTGTAGCAAGGCCAATACCGCTGTCAAATCAGTGCAAAGCTGCGTGCATGCGTTGCTGACACAAATGTGGAGCAGCTGAGACACTGTCGCATCACCAGACACAGCGGGAAGTGGGGAAAGTGGCCATTTCCCCGTCGCCGCAGTGACTGGCTGCATAAAGGCGGTAAGACATTGGAGGATGCAATTCAACACGACAGAAAGCGTGTGAGAATTCTGTCGGTACATCATCACATCTTGTGTTGCCAACATGGTGTACGCGCGTGTATCCAAGGCATGAGCTGCCGCAGGGACTTCGGGTCGTTGGAGATCAACAACGACATTTACCGTGGATCGGCCGCCCGCAGTTGGAAGAATGGTCTGGAGCTTTGAGAGTATGTGATGCAGTCGTTCACGGTGGCGGTCAAGAATGTGCGCGGCAAAGCGCTCATCTACCTCCCGCGTGACTTGTGAAAGCCAAGCCCGCTTCAACTCTTCAGAAGCAGCGGCAGTAGTATTAGTAGCAGTGGTAGAAGTTACTTTTTGGACAAATAAAGATGACCCCGTCGCTTGCTTCGCTGCAGCCGCATCATATTCTACCAGGCAATCCAATATTTTCAGGAGCTCATCCATGCTGCCGAGAAAACAGTTTAGTAGACTATGGTAGTGCATCACGTCCGCTGCCAGGGCGGCGAGGAAGCTTGGACGCTTCTGAACTGCCTGTAGACGCTCCCGGAGCTTCTCCGTGACAATCTGCCAGTAATCACCCAACACCGATGTTGGGCTTTCCACGGCACTAAGGTACGGTGTTTGTGTGGTGGGATCCACCCTTTTCACCAGGACGCACCAGACTGCGACAACCACCTGGGTGTGCTGCGACACATTCGCGAGGGCTGATTTGATGTGGGTGAAGAGAACCTCACGCGTCCGCAAATTTACATCGTTGGCGGTGGTGCCAGTTCCATGACTAACCTCGTCTATCATGGCTTGCAGGTCCAGGTCCCGCATTAGCGAGCGTATCACCTCACGCTTCTGCTCCGTCATGAGGGTGCCAAGTACGCGAGGAAGACTCCCCAGAGTAAAGAGGCACTGCAAAGAAATGGCTACACCCGATGCGTCCTGAGCATCCCCACGCCGCAGCATTTCCTGAGCCTTTGTGCGAATGGTGACTGCAGCACGCTCGACGGCGTCCATGCGGGCATCCACAACCTCGATCCCTTTGAGGTTACTAGCTTGGAGGAGTTCTTCCACCTCCCGCAGCGTGCGAGAAGCGCGGGCAAGGTCTTGCGGAAGCTGACTCTTTAGACGCGTTGTAAGGTCAAGAAACCTCAAAATACTCCGCAAGGTCGTTAGGGCGGCACTCGTGTTCTGCAACTTTGTGATGTTCGCGTTGATGATGCGGTACGGCTCCTGTACGGTGTGTCGAAGTCTACTCGTGGAGTTCACAAGGGAGGCAGTGGCTTGACGCACTGCAGCCACGTCTCGCTGTGCTCGGCAGGCGGCTGTGACCTGCTGCAGCATGTCCTCTGTGTTCTCCGAAAGTATCTTATGAACCTCCTCCCGCACAGCCTTGGCGCAGGACGCGAGACGCGCCTGCTCCGCCTGGCAGTTGGAGGCGTGGAGGGCGTAGCGCAGGTACGCCTCCTCGTCAAAGTCAGAGCTCATCAACGTGCTATCGGCGAACATGACTGCTAGTGGCAATTCCTGCATAAAGGAAAACAAAAAAGAAACAATAATACAACCAACAACAAAACACACACATAACACGCTTGAAGCATCCAACAACGGAGGGTCAACCAAAATAAAAATATAAAACGCATTCCCACTTCTCTTTCGCCCTTTTTCGGTAAAAAAAAAAAAACTGCACTTTTTTCTTTTCGTTTTTTTTTCTCCCCTTTGTTTCCCTTGCTCCCGGCTTACGTACTGCTCCTTCCTTCCTACCTCGCCCATCCTCGCACCACGCTGGAAGGAACCCAAAAAGAAAGAGTCACAAGAGGCAGCCGACTAAGCGGCAGTGCCTTAAGCACACACACATACACGTACGCAGGCAAGCACGCGCGTGGGCGGCATCTTCATGCGTTGTTCGCACCAAAAACTACAAAGGCGCAGAACCATCTCTGTGATCACACAACAATCGCTCCCGCGCCTTGGAAATCATCTCCTTCAGCGTGTCGTCAACGCAACGGCTGTCCGCAGACAACGTGGCCACGGCGTCCAAGAAAAAGGTTCTAGAATCATCTGGGACAGTGGAACGAATCCGCAACATGGCCTGCAACAAAACTCGCAGATTGGAGATGTCGTCCGCGGTGATGCATCGTCCAGCCTGCGCAAGGGCGTAGAGGAGACGACTTGTGACTGCTACGCTGTGGGCATTCTGGAGGTATCGTTGTAGTGGTGCACCACAGAGCAGGTCTATGGCCTCTTCAACACCCGGTGAGACACACTTAAGGCGGACACAAGAGACCATCGTAAGGGCAAAGTTGAGACCATCTAGTGAATGCAGCACTGCATTCACTAGTGTCAAGACAACCTCTTCACACCCCACAACGTAGAAGTGTGCCAGTGCCTGCACAGTCATAGATACGGCAGATGGGGTGATGTCCCGCTGTGGTCCAGTTGGCCCTGTTGAATGTGATGCCTGGGAGGAGGACAAAACTCGCATTAGACGCAAATGACGGTACGAGCACATGTGAAACGCCTTCAAGATGTACGCAATCTCAAGTGGTGTGAGTTGCGGTGCCAGATCCATGGAGCGTCGAGCAACGCTGTTAAGAAGTTCACGTGGGCCGCAGCACGTCAAAGCGACCACCCGACAGACATCCAAAATCATTACTTTCGCTTCAGCTGCGTCTTCACAGAGTTCTATGTCATTGCAGAGTCGCTTTTCCGCCACGACAAGAATCTGTTGGGCCTCCTCGAAGTACGTCTCGGCCAGCATGACGGCACATTGACGCACATCCGTGAGTGGGGTGTCAGCAACCGTCTTGACAACGGTGTCAGTAAGAATTTTTATGAGTTTTGCGTCGCCCATCCCAAAGCGGTGCAGCAGCCGAAGAATATAAATGGCCTCTCGTGGAAGTAACTCCGGTGCCACCTCCCGCAGGCGCGGGAGCAAAATCTCAACAATCTCTGCTGTTTGCGGGTGTCTCAATTTGGACAGTATGAGGAAAAAGGAGGACATGGCCACCGCGTCCAGGAGAAAGGCGTTTTTGGTGTGCTGATTAATGAGAGCGTAGGTGGCGGGAAGACTCACGGCGTCGAAGTAGGCGGCGACGCGAAGCGCACGCTGCGTGTGCACAAAGCGAGGGTCCTCCTCGGTAGAGAGAAGTGGAAGAGCGCGCAGAATTTGCACCGCCTCCGTCCGCAGCGCGGGATCAAACGTGTGCTGGTGTCGCTGCTGCAGCGCCACGAGCTCGGTCACCCGCTCCACGGCCAGACGCCCCGTGGGAGACAACTTGCGCTCCTGCGCCCGCATAACGGAGTTGCTGAAACTCTGCCTATGGACTTTGGACCGCATCCGCACGGCGATGTCCTTCGCCATTTTCTCAAAGGGGCCACCCATCCTTACTGGGCCTGTCTCCGCCTCCCTTTGCCGCCCCAGCTGTGTGTGTGTGTGTGTGTGTGTGTGAGGATTGTGGTCTCCCTCCGAGCCACGGGCAGCAGCCCAGCCCTTGCCGAGTAGCAACAGCGCAACGACCTCCTCGACACACAGGCAGAAAGAGATAGAGAAAGTGGAGAAGGTAAAATGCATGTATGCACGCAGAGACGCACCATTGGGCAAATGGGGAGAACTTTTTTTTAAAAAAAAGGTAAATAAAAAAAAAAGAATGAAAAATCAGAAAACTCAACGACGAGCTTTGCCTCCCGCACATCCAGTCGATCCGGGAAAGCGAGCTTCTCGATGCTACAATTATGCATATAAATATATAATGCATTACGGTTTCTGTTGGTTTTGTTGCCGTTTCATACTACGCCCCTCTATGCGCACAGCATGGCGTGTGCAATGTCAACGCCAACTATGTCCCCTCCCCCCTCCCCTCTTCCTCTGTTTCCCTTGCATACAACTGCCCTTGTGCCACACTAGTGCGAATCATAATACTGCTAACACTGTTGCCCCCGCCGCCGCCGCCGCCGCTCCTCCTCCACCACCCGCAACTCGGCTGTAAAATTATGCCGTAAGGGCCACTTTGGCTCTGCGTGGAGCCGAGTTGCGAGGGTGCATGCGTGGTTTCTGACCGGGGCCGTCCACACCCTCCGGCGTCCGCTGACCTATATCCGCTGGCGGCGATACTTCTAGTTTGGAGAGAAAACTCTCCGTGTAGCCAAAGGAGATAATGGCAGGCTGGTTCACTAAGTCACCGCCATCGTCGGTGCGGGGCCGTTCAATCACGGCGTGGTTCATGCCGTATGTGATGCATGCTTCCATGATGTCCTCGCACTCCCCCTCCGTGGCGCCCGCCAGCCGAATCATGCGCTGGTCGGTCGGGGTGTAGTTGATGTACATGTGTGGCTCACCGAAGGAGAGCTCCTGGATGGTGAACATGCAGAAGGGGTTAAGCAGCCGCAGCTCTGGAAGGTTGTTGCGCTACAAGTTGCGCACGCCAAAGCAGTTGGGGTCCTTGGGGTTCAGCCAGACGGTGAGCGACGCCACACACGGCGTGAAACGGGCCCGCCACGACATAACTCTTCGTCACCCGCAAAAAACCTCTGCAAGAACAAACCACAAAGCAACGCAAATAAGGAAGAAAAAAATACTCCAAAACAGCAAGGGAGTACCCGCAGAGGTGCAATCAAGACAGTGCTGGTTGTGTTTCCTCTCCGAAGCTTCCTTGAACCCCGCAGCTCCATCCCACTCCCGACTCTCTGTACATACAAGAGCACCAGCGGTGACTGGTGCGTGTTGTTCACTTCTTGTTTCGAGAAGACTTCTTCTTTACCTCATCTCCGGGCTCTTCAGTCTCGAGAGGAGCCCGTGGTAGCAGAAGCAGCCGCCAGTAGAGCATGTCGCTCAAATCCCGCTGCACCGCCCGCAGGCCCGGATCGCCGCTGTGCAGAATCACAAAGGTGCGTAATGTGATGGCGGCACAATAAAGCTCCGGTGGCTGTACCGCGCAGCTCTGAAGTGTCGACATCTCACTCTCCTCCGCAGGCTCGCGAAGCGACAAAACACGCAGTGCCTCACGCGCACCGTCCAAAGTCACCTTCCGGTTATTTCCAAGATTGACGCAGCGCAAAACAGTATTGCCGGGTACCCGCACGGTGTGCTCCATTCGAAAGCAATCACGGTCAAACGGTGATGTGGGGCGGGACAAGACGGGCTCTGTCTTTTTGGCTTTTGCTTGCGTGCCTTTTTTAGACTCCTTCTTTTCCTCGCCAACAGCAGGGTATTTGGTTTGGTACCACGCCGTGTAAACCTCTTGGTAGCTTGGGTACGTTGGGGGAGGCGTGGTCGCCAGCTGCCGTTCTTGCATCGTCGCATCACGACGCAAGAGATACCGCTTGCGGTACATCTGCAGCTTCTCGAATGGCATTTCCTGCATGCGAAAGCAGTCCACCAAACTAAGGAGTCCCACGTCCCCAATATCATTATGACCCAAGTCCAGTGCTTGTAACGTGCGGTTCTCCTTCAGCATTTGTGCAAGAGCCACAGCGCCATCATCGCCAATGCAGTTGCCCCACAAATTGAGGCTGACGAGCTCACTACGTGGATGACAAAGCAGCAACGATGCCATGGTTGCAGCATCGTCGTTTGTAATACCGTTCCCCCGTAGGCTCAGGTGCTTTATGCCAGTCAGCAACATAGCGGCCCACCCACGTGGGACAAGAACAGGGTTTTCCTTGTCAATCTGTGCAAGGGTATCCTGCTGCTGTTGAAGCTGTGTCTGCCTCTTAGAGTCTATTTTTCCCTTCCGTCCCTTTTCCTCGCGAGCCTGTTGCTCGAGCGACAACAGCAGGCCTTTGAAGCCTCTGTACTCTGTGGGGAGAAAGGTGGGTGCGTCGGCGCCAATCCATTTCTTCAGCAACTGTGAACTTCTTGTGCCCGTTACGGGGCCTCCACTTCCCAGCATACAAGAGCGATGTAGACTCCCCGTCATGGAGTCTGCGAGTGGTTGGCTCAACGAGAGGTCATGTGCGGGATACACAAGCGCCGCGCTTTCCACCCGTGTCGATGTTCGGAGACTTGATGGGGAAGTGATGGTGGGATCCGTGTAGAAGCCTGAATTGAAGGTACCGTTGAAGTCAATTGTTACAGAGGCCACGCGGCGACTCGTGTAGATCGCCTTTACAAGCATAAAATAGCTCTCCTCGGACAACCCACAGCCAACAAACTCAACGGAAACAAGTGAGACGCAATACGGTATGGCGAGCGCCAAAGGTCTGACGTCACGCTCGTTGAGGCAGAACTTGAGGTGGCGCATCGAGATAAATGTAAGCGTCGGCGGAGCTGCGGCGGGGGAAGGCATTCCCGCGTTGTCACGTGTGGAACCCTTTTTTTTGGTTCTCACACTCCCAACGGACGTGCTACGTCCCAAGGAAACGGCCGCACGCGTTGTGGCAGAGGGAGGATTGGTGGATGTTAACGGCTGCACTGCGAACAAAGACGGATCCGTTGTATCCAGGTTGACGAGGGCGTTGCGGTAAGGATGCGCCGCGAGGTATTTGGCCCCCTCCTCATGTCGTCGCTCCTCGTCGGTGAAAATGGACTGGTACAGCTCCTCCCGCTCAGTGACGCCAAGTGCGTGGCAGTAGGCCCCGTAGTCGGAGCGGAGCACGCCTGACGGCTCAAAAAGCATTCCTTTTACGCCTCAAGTAAACGCACGCAAACAAGGAAGAGAGAAATATCGCGTAGGGGCAACTGTGGCAGAAGTCCCAAAGGGAGCTGCTGCAGGAAGAGAAAAAACAACAACACATTTCAAATCGCGCCTCCTCCAGACGCGTCTATCGCTTAACTCTGAGGTTTTTTTGTAAAAGCCGAGCCCCCTCCCCCCCCCCCCCCCTGCCTCCCGCACAACTTCTCCGCCATAGAAATGAGAGGGGGATAAATAAAGAGTCGGCGAGGTCGTAGGGTAAGAAGGTGGAGAGTTCAAGTCTACATATGTGTTACATTGTCTCGCGCACTTCGCTCTGTCCCTAATGTAGTCTTCGTGCATGCACGTGATTCATCTACCGAAGGTGGGACAACTTCGGTAGAAAGCGAAAAAAAAAAAAAACGACAAAGTAAAAAGCAACCAAAAATAAAAAAGATAAACAGGGATAAAGCCCATGCTAAAAGAAAAAGAAAAAGGAAAACAAAAGGGTGATGAGGGAAACTGTCTCAGTGGCCCTTTTCATGATTACCTTCGCTGGTTGGAGGTTCCTCTCGTTCCTGCTTCTGCCGCTCGGAGGTGTTCTTCTCAAGTCTTTGTTGAAGTTCTTGCACACGCCGCCGCGCAAGCCAGCCTCGTGCCGCCCGTTGAACCATAACTACACACCGCAGCAGCTCCTCCACATCACTGTCCGGCTCAAACTCCTCTTCAGCAGCGTGGTAGCCTAGGCTGGCCCACAGCTCCTTCGGGTCGGCTGCTTCTGCAGCAATGGCAGTCATGGCGGCCGCAATCTCCTCGTCCTGGGCCCGAATGGTACTCCAGTACTTCTTCTTCGCATCGCGCCGCTCCTGCACCAGCTGACGCGCCCGGTAGGCACGGTACGCCCGCTGTACCCGCATCGCCGCGTAATGCAGAACGGCCTCAATCTCAATGTCCAGCGTGCGCTGCTCCTCTATCATTCGTTGCCGCCTCCACAGCTCACTTTTGGCGTGGCATACCCGCATAAAAGAAAGCAACTTTTTGGCGGCTTGTTCCGCACGCATCTGAGCCAATATGGCCGCATTGCGGCAAGACAGCTCCTTTTCTGCTGCCACCATACGCAAAAAACCAACAATTTTACTGGCAGCCTGCGTCTCAATGGCGTCTCTCTCCTCTGCCTCATTTAAGTAATGAAGCACCGCACAAACACGAGCGGCGCGCTCCTTTTTGGCGCGAATCACACGCGCAAAATTGTTCAGTGTGGAAGCAACCTCTAGCTTCCGCAACCTGCACAAGTAATCGGCCACTGCCTCTTTACGACCCGCACGTTCTCGCTTTGCTCTAACGATACAAACGAAGCCTTGCAGCGAGGCAAGGTGGTGACTCTCAACCTGCGGGATCGTTGTGGGGGTCGCTTCCGTGAAGTTTGGAGGATGCATGAGGCCGCCAATCATCCTCATACTCGCTTCGGCCCGCAGAAATGCCTGCACTGCGGTGGTATGCCGCACATTGCGCACCTCAACCGCCCCTGCCTGATCCATCTCGGCAAACTGGTGCAGCAATTCGTGATCCAGCACGGGGGGCTCTTCACGGTCCAGCTCCACTCTGTGCTCCACGTACGCCTCCGTTATTGCCTTCAAGGCCTTAAAGTACCGGCGATCTAGGCAGCCGCGGGCCACGCGAGTGATGTCCCGGGCAGCTTCATCTTGCCTCCTCGCGGCATCCAACGCCTGCAGCTCCCGCTGCCTTCGCCGAATGGCTGAGGTGGAGACCAACTGCAACGGTGTGGGCGTCCGCAATTCCACCCGGCGGCGACTAAGCGGTGGACGAGGGATAAGTTGACGCAATTCCTCCGGGTTCTCAGCCGCTGCAATTTTCTGCAGACGGTACTCGTTCGCCTTGGCGCGAAGCGCATCCCGTTCCGCGCGAAACATTTTCTCCTTTGCCATGGCGCACCGCCGCTTCTCCCGCTCAATAGCCAACGCCTCCTCCAAACTGCACGAGTCCCCGAACTCATCTCCGTGGGGGAGAGGCGAGGATGCCAATGAGGACGAAGAGGCTGCCGCCGACGCAGGAGGTACCGCAGCACTTAACATGACGCGTGGCTCAGCTGTGGGTTCTTCCAGTGAACTCCCAGGTTTTTCCTTCAGTTGAACATTTTTGTCCAACTCCAGTTCCTCCAGTTTCCGCTCCTCTTTGGCCAGTCTTCGTAGAACATCCCTTTCCCACTCATAAATGACACTGTAAAGTGCATCCAACCGATCCCTTTCTTCTTGAATCAACTTTGCTTCAGAGTGCTCTGTCGCCTTCTCTCCCTGACTGGGTTCCAACTCCGGCTCTTCTATCTTTCCCATCTCCTCTTCGTATTCCAACGATCCGAGAGCGTCACCACGAGAAAGCAGCTGAACTCCTTCCCCTCCAACCTGGTGCTGTAAATCTCGTGAAACACTTGTCGACGTCTCATTTTCCTCCGCATCCTCCGTCAAGAGGGCCCTCGTTTCCTGCAAACCGAGAGCCTGCTCCTCCCCAGCCGTTAGCTCTTGGTTTTCCTTCTGAATTTCTCCCTCCTGGTATGTCTCCTCTATCCCTTGTTCAGCCTTCTCAACATCCGACAGCTCCGCCTTGAGCTCTTCCTCGGGCGTCTCTTCAGCTGCAATAGTGTGCTCTGCATCCCGCAGAGGAGTTTCCGGCCTAGTTGGAGTAACCTCCACTTTATTTACATCGCCTGGAAACACGTCGGAGACAGGAAGAAGTGTCTCAAACTTTTTCAATGGTGTGTTCAAAGATTGGCGTAACACCAAGGCAATATCCTTTTCACGAGGCGTGGGAGGTGTCGCTGGTTGGGGCCCAGCCGACGCTGTCTCCCACGCACAATCCGCCACTTCAAAAGCTCGCTCCCGTCGTCTGAATTCAATCGCCTCCATATTCAGCTCTTGCAGAACAGAGCCCAGTTCCTGTCGGGCGCGAAATCCGCGACCAATTCGCTGGGTTGCAGCCACAAGAGTGGCCCACCGCGCCTCCCTAAGCTTCCTGAGACGGTCTCGGCGAAGTTGCCTCAGCTGCACCTTGGCGTAGTAGTCCCGGAAGGCGCGCTGAATCTTAGACGCCGCCTGATTCTCTGCACATTTTTCACGAATAGCACGTGCCGCATTTATACGAGCTGTCGTCAGCAGTGGCTCTGCCTCTCTCCTTACGATGATCATTCTTCCAAACGCCTGAAGCTTTGTCGCCGCGTCAATCTTCCGTTGGTGCTCGCGAAGGCGTGCCTCTCGGATCAATTGTGCCTCTCTCAGCCGCTGAAGCTTTGCGCGAGCAAGGAGCAGGCACCACCATGTCTGGATTTTCTCCGCTGCTGCTTTCCGGCGGGCTTCGTCATATTTCCGCCGAAGCTCTTTGACTCTCAATCTTTCTGCTTTTGTCTGCCGCTCCACCTGTCGCGTCTTCCAGTGGCTCTGGATAACGGTGGCAGCGCACTCGCGGCGTTCCTTTTCAACAGCAATGCCTTTGGCGACCTCATGCAGCCTTTTCAGCTCCGCCAACGCTCTCTTCGCCATGATGCACCGCCACCACAACTGTACCTTCATCGCAGCGTACTCCGCATTCTCTTCATAATATTTCATCCGCGCAAATTTGCGTTTTGCCAGCCAAACTCGGGCCCTCTTCTGGATGCGTATAGCTGCCTTGTGCTGTTCACCGGCAACAACTTCCCGACTTTTGGTCTTCCAGCGAGTCCCCCATCTTGTGGGTAGACATCTTCGGTACCATCGCTGAATTTGGCGGGTTGCAATGGTTATTCTAATTTCACGCAACACATGATTACATCCCCGCATCTCCCGCATCTCGTTCAGGATTCTACGAGCCCTGTGCATACGGTAGGCGCGTTGAATAACTGATGAACTCGCGTGCTTTCGCTCCAGTTCCTCCTCATCCACCAGAAGCATATCCAGACGATCGGCCATGTACGAAATAAGGTTATGCCCCACCTGTTTCAGTCGAGTTGGGCTTGCCTCCGAACGTGACAATACTGGAACAGAGGACTTTTCCACAGACGCCCTGTTGACGACTGATCTAGCCTCCTGTTCCGCGTCGGTCCTGCGTGGTGAGCCACGGGCTGCACCGGATGTCTTTGAAGGCGAGTCAGCCGTCGGCTTCGTGTAACTGACTCCAGCCTTTGTGGCCCTTAATCGATCCGTGGCAGAAGTGGATGACTTCGCCTGCGTGGGTGCAAGTGAGTTGGATTTTGTCTGAGGAGTCACAGAGCGGGCTGGTTTTGATTGTGCCCCCGACGGAATAGTAGTGACTGCTGGTTTTGATTGTGCCCCCGACGGAATGGTAGTGACTGCTGGTTTTGATTGTGCCCCGGACGGAATACTAGTGACTGCTGGTTTTGATTGTGCCCCGGAAGGAATACTAGCGAGTGCTGGTTTTGATTGTGCCCCGAATGGAATACTAGTCACTGATGGCCTTGGATTTCCCTTCGTGCTGATTGTGGCGGGATCCTTACGCAAGTATGCCGGAGCGGTTTTGTTACCAAATCCCCCTGTATAAACGGTTTCTGGAGTTGAAGTGTTTCTGCTGGACTGGCGAGTCGTCGGGTTGGCTGGAGGCGGCCTCACAGACGTTCTGGAGACAGGCTCAGCAACGCTGGGGAGGGTTTTGCGGTCGGAAGTGCCTCTGCCGAAGGGAGGGGCGCCAACGCCTTTGGAGGGAAAAGTTTGCCCTGTGAGCGGGACAGTGGGCAAGTTCCTCACCTGTAATGGCGGTGGCGGTGGGGCCGCGCTCTGCCTCGGCAGGCCCCGAAATACTTGCTGAGTATGCGGAATCTTCGCTCTTGTTGCTGGAGTTGTGGCATTGTGCGCCCGTGCTTGGAACGAAGGAACCACAGGCGGTAGTTGGGAGGGTCTCTGCTGAGACTGCCTTTGCGGAGATTCCTGTCGTCGTGGTGGCGCCTTCGGTGGTGAAACGCTGCGCTCCTTTCGGAACTGTAAATACGCGTGGTCTGGTACGTCCTTCCTCGCGGGACGCACCTTACGCGACGTCAGCTGTGCCGAAGGCCTTCGTAAGACGGCTGGGGGGTGGTACATGGGGGTCACAGATATTTTTCTTCGTACCACGGGATCCGCCGCGCTCATAGTGAAGGGGTGAGGAAAGATGTCCGAAGGTTCCACCGTGTGTTTAATGGTCTGATTCCACGGTGAGATGGAGTACGACCGGTGCTCTGACAGCCTTTCAGTGCGGCTGGACCCTCGGGTGGCGTTTTCCGCAGTGACAACTCCGCGGCTCTCGACATCGGTTATCTTGTGCGCCTGCATAAACCGCGTCATGTTTTGTTCGATAGTCAGTGTCGTCCCACTTGTGTGACCAATGGTGTTCCGCGCCAAACTCAACGCCAACTGGTACTCCTCTAGGGCTCGCACGACATCAAGCGGTTCAAGCGCCATGGCGAGGTTGTGGTGCGCCAAGGCGAGCAGTGAGGAGTCCTCGGGGGCGGAGCCGAGGTTCTGCATTGCCTGCATCGCACTTTTCACGGCGTCTTCGCACAGTCGCAACTGGGTCTGAACGGCACTAATGTTGAGAAACGCCACAGGTGACTGCTCCCCCGTGCACTCCATCGAACGTTTTATGAAAGAAAGAGCGTCAGAAAAATGTCCGCGGCGTCGCTCCATACAACCGTAGTTGTTTAACGTCACCCCCCGCAGATACCGCCGTCGATCATCCGCCTCTCGAAGCGGGAACGCGTTGGGCTCCGTCATCTCAATTCCATATTCGAACAGAGTGGATGCAGTCTCATAGTTGTCTTCCTTAAAGCATCTTACGCCGTATGCATTGATCTTCCCTATAAGACGTTCGGCGGCTTCGCAGAGCTCGCCAATATACATAGGCATCGTGGAACTCGCATTCTGCGAGTAGCAGCGAATGTGCAGAGCCTTCTCCAGCAGTTGGAGAGACTCCATGTACCTCCCGTTCGCCTCAAAGGCTTCGGCCTGAAGCTCCATACGCACCGCATCCTCATGAGTCTCTTTACCTGTGACTGCCGAGGTGGGGTCAAAGGTGCCACCCCGCGTTTGCAACACGTTCATTGGGGAGTGAAGAAGCTTCTGTGTTTCCCTTTTACTTTCCTATCGCTGGCGCTAGGAACACACGCACACAAAGTGTAGCTGAAGAAGTGGGATACAGCGCGCAATGGGAGACAGCCGAGGCAAAGACAGGCAGCTCCTAGTGAAGGGAGGGGGGGGAGCAACAAAGATAGGAACAAGGTCGTAAAGCGGCAGCGGCAGTCTCATCCTTGCCACACACACACACACACACACACACGCAAGGGTGCGGGTGTGCCCGGAAACAGACAAACACAACTTATAGAAATGGACTTCCCCCATTCACAGTAGAAGAACAAAAACAAAACAAAAACAAAACAAAAACAAAATGTATAGGAAAAAAAAACCAGAGAAACCCCCACAGAAGCACTCCGTATCTCATAGGGGACACTGCGTGCTTGGGGTACAGGCGGTCTCTCTCTCTCTCTCTCTTTTCTCTCTTTCTCTCTCTTTCTTTCTTTCTCTTTCTCTCTCTCTTTCTTTCTCTCTTTCTCTCTCGCGTTTTACACATTATTTTTGAATAGCTACTTAATGATACCTGAACACGATGCATCCAGGTATGCAAAAGTCTGTGTGGCACACACCCCTGCTGCGTCGCATAGAGTTCTTTTCCTTTTGCTATAAAACACAATTTCTATGCTCTCACCCTCTTTTGTCTCACCCTTTATTATTTTGAAATGGTATCTACAACCAATAAAGAATAAAAAAAAAAAACAGTAAAATCAAGAAGACAAATACCTAAAGTCACCCTACAAGCCGGCATATGTAAATTCCAACTCCTTATTTCCCATCCCCCTTCCTTCAGTGCCTGCCAGCTCCAAGGCGCCGTGTTAGTTCCTCGTTTTCCCCCTTATGTCGCCTCCTCCCTCTCTCTCCCTCTCTCTCTCTATCAGCTCTCCTCCTGCAACACCATGGCGTTTGTAATGTCTTCGTGTGTGAAGGTGCGCTCACCGCTTTGAAATTGGGAAACGGTCGCGTATAGTTCAGGTTGGACCGGTCGCAGCACCCATTTTTGCATCAGCAGCCCCTCCACTCCCACAGGACCACGCGCATGAATTCGGCTTGTGCTGATGCCCACTTCGGCGCCAAGCCCAAAACGATAGCCGTCAGCGAAGCGGGTTGAGCAGTTGTGAAAGACACAGGCAGAGTCCACGCGTCTTACAAACTCGCTGGCAACGTCACCATTGGAGGTAAGAATACTCTCCGTGTGGTGGGAACCGTAGGTATTGATGTGGTTGATAGCGGCGTCCAGGTCCTCTACAACCTCCACTGTCATGCGTTCGTCGCCGTATTCGGTGTGCATTGACGCCGCGCCAGCACGCGCCAGGGAAGCTGCAATCGCCTTTGGGCCGCCGAATATCTTGATTCCAGCCGCCTTCATCTTATCTACAAGAGCCCTGGCGCTGCCATTATCCACAAGTATCCGATCAATGAGCAACGTCTCTGCCGCGTTGCAGGCGGCTGGATAGTTCAACTTTGCATCAATGATAACTTTTTCCGCCATCTCCATGTCGGCGTCGGCACGGACGTACACGTGGCAGATGCCATCTGCGTGCCCCAACACCGGAATGTTTGTTGAGCGTTGAATGTTCCGCACCATCTGATTTGAGCCACGCGGAATCACAAGGTCAATGAATTCGTCCATTTTTAGTAGCTCGTAGACGTCTGCGCGGCTCTTGACAAGGCCAATCACGCCAGGCGCGACTTTGCCCCCCGAAGCCTCCGCCACCGCCCCCACAATCAGAGAGTGCAGCGCCCTGTTCGAATGCTCAGCCTCGCTTCCGCCCTTCAGAAGCAACCCATTGCCAGAAGACAGCGCCAGTGCTGCAATCTGCGGCATGCTATCCGGTCGAGACTCAAAGATGACAAGCAGGACCCCAATAGACGCCGTTTCCTTGCAGAGCACAAGGTTATCATCCAGCAGGCGGGCACTAAGCACACAACCAAGAGGATCCTTAGCCTCCGCAATCGATGTTATGCCGGTCACCAAAGTGTCGATTTTGGCATGAGTCAGTTCCAGCCGCTTCATCAGCGGAGTGGCGAAGTTGTGTTCGCCCGCCACACGCATATCAAGGGCGTTTGCGGCTAGTATTATGTCACGGTTAGTGTCTAGTGCACTGGCAACCGCCAGCAACACCTTTTTCCGCTCCTGGTAGCTTAACCTGTTAAGCTGCCGCGACCCCTCACGCGCCCTCCTGGCAGTTTCTGCCATTGCCTCACGCTCGTTGGCCATGGCTGCCTCCGACGCAAGCAGCCCGGTGGGATCCCGCACAAAAATTGTTCCAACATCCTGTTTCCCCTGCAGCAACTCCCCAATGGTACCCATGCGACGGCCAGAGCAGATGCACACAGCCGGGACGCCACCACGCACTGCCGATCTCGCGGCCTCAATTTTGGCGTTCATCCCGCCACGCCCCGTAGGACTTTTGGCACCAAAAACAACCGAACTATCTGGGGAAAATGTTCTGATGAGTCTGGCGTTTGGATCGCTTGGGGGAATGTCGTAGATACCATCCACGTCTGTTAGAATAATCAGCAGATCAGCGTTAATGGTTTGCGCCACCAGAGAAGAGAGACCGTCGTTGTCCGTAAACGGGTCGTTTAAAGTGTTATTGCGGTTGGCGGTGACTGTGTCATTTTCGTTGACAACCGGCACAAATCCCAGACTGAGGAGGTTCTCCAGGGCATCGTGCAGATTTTCCCTGCGATCGTCCGAAAGAAAATCGTGGTGCGTTAGCAAGAGCTCCGCCAGGGTGATGTCAAGCTGCTGAAAGACGGTCTGGTACAGGTTCATCAGATTCGCCTGCCCCGCCGCCGCAAAGGTGTTGTTGCCAATCGAAGAAATCGGCCGGCAGGTGCGGTGCAGGCGTTCGAAGGCGGAGCAGACCATCACATCCTGGCGGCGCAGCACATTTCGCCCCATGCCACAGGCACCGCTGGAGACAAACACCACCTCCTTGCCTTCACTGCAAAGGGAAAAAATTTCCTCCGCAATATTCGCAATGCGGCGCACGCTGGGGAAGCCACTCTCCGAGACAATGGTGGAGGTCCCTGCTTTGATAACAATGCGCTTTGCGTATCGGAGGTCCCTGCGCGAGGTGACCTGGTCGAGTCGCTTGCGCACAACTGGGACCGGAACTGTGGTCATCACGCGATGTACACTGCAATGTGTCTGTCCTTTCCTTCTGCTGTTATTGTTTTGCTTTGCTTTTCTTTATACTTTGGCTGTTGTATTATGTGTGCCTTCTTGTGATCGGTCCCCGGTGCAAGTTCTCTCCTCCGTTTTGAGTAGTTTTTACGGGTTCACCGGTTATACGGCTTTTTAGGCGCCTCACTGTAAACTGCACGCCGGGTTGGAAAGGCAAAGCACGGGGCCACGCACAGAGAAAAAAAAAGAAAAAGATACATATACAGAGAGAGAGAGAGAGAGAGGTGGGAGGAAGACATATGTGCATTGGCTCACATATTATTATTATTATTTTTTGTTTGACGTTCGTCGTCGTTCGCGCAGCGCCTGCTTCACTCGTGTACCCACGCGCCCCCTTCGCTGTTTTTCTTCCGCACCCCTTCATCGCGCCCCGCGCCAGCCTTCTCCCTCGCCGTTGCACGCGAGCCCAGAGGCGACGCTCACGCAGCCAGCTGCCTCTTATTTGTCAGAACACGCACCAGCACATGCCGTCCCGGTAGCGCGGCATCTTTCTTGAGAGACGTCGGTTCGCGGCCCTCGCATATACGCTCCACGCACACCGCCTCAAACCTCACGAGTTTCCCCTCCAACAGGTATGCATGCAGGAAGGCCTCAAACACCTCTCCAGCGCTGCTGCCTGACTTAAACACAAAGCACTCTTTCAGTGAGGGCAACGGCAGCTTCATCGAGGCGGTGGGAAACACCAAAGCAAGAGGGCAGCGCTGCAGTGCTGCAGCCATCACCTCTTGCACCCCAGTTGTAGCAGTGGCGCACGCGGAATCAAAAAAGTGGCGTACTTCAGCAAGTGTCTTTGCATCGGTAGGGGTCATGGCACATTTTTTGTTATCGCCGTTGCTCCCTCCGTAAGTCTCTTGAAAGGTACAATCCCCAGAGACGTACTGCACAAGGCCCTTGCGCCGCAGCCGCAACAGATGGCACTCCACCTTTGCAGACATCGGCACAAATGTTTCATGGGGGTAACGTCGCTGGAGTTCGGCGTGCAACTTTCCAGCCACAGGCCGCATGTCTGACTTGTTAAGCGCAACCACGATAGGGAATCGCAGACGCACATACAGCGCCACAAGATAATGAACCTCCGCTGGCCCCCATGCAGGCAAGTGGTTCATCAGCGCCGTCTCGCCCGTGATGCCCATGTGCCACAGCACCCCATCCACAAAGGAAGGAGGACTTCGGTAGCCTGTAAACATTGTTCGCAGCTTCTCCGGCTTCCTGCGGAGGCTGCCCCACTTCGCCCGAAGGTTGTCATAAATCCAACTGTGAACCTCCGCACGAACCCACGCGATGTCGTCACATGTAGAACCTGTTCCTGGGGGACACACGGATCCGTCGGCGTTGGTCGCCCCCGCCCCATCCACGACGTGCACGAGAACATTCGCATCACAGAGGTCGTTGAGGAATTGATTACCCTTTCCCTTTCCCTTGTACGCCCCTTGCACCAGACCGGCAACGTCCTTGACGATCACAGGGTGCCTGCGATACAGCGCCCCAGCGATAGGCACATGGCCGTACATGGCGTCACAAGGCGAGGATAAAGTTGACAGCATGCAGCAGGGGCAGAACACGGCACCGAAGCCGGCACTCACGTTGGGTTCAATGGTTGTGAATGGAAACGCGGCCACCCTGGCGGCCCTACTCTCACTCTCTGGATCCGTAACGGCATTAAAAAAGTACTCTTCCCCGCTGACGGCTTCCCAATGAGGCCAATGGTCAGCTCCAGCTCTCCGCCCCGTGAAGTCGCGTTATGGCTGTCTACAAGGTCAGTCGCAGGCTCGTTTGACGCCTGCAGTGGTGCCTTCCCCTCGAGCGCCCGCTGCACGCGTTCTTCGGTCTCCGCAATACACGCTGCCCGGTCATCGGCATCTTCATCAGCGTCCCACCATGCATTCTTTGCCTGCGGGTGCTGCGTCGCAGAGTCCTCGGCCACAGCGGAGGCACCTGCCTTGGCAGACATAAATACCGACCGCAGAAACACCACCTCGCTCGCCGCCTGTTCGCCAGCGAACATCATCGCTGGAAGAAGCATGGCGTTCCCAACACCCAAATCCTCCCGCAGGTACGCGAGGGTCTTGGCGATCAGCTGCAACTTCCAGCGCTCAAAGGCGACATGATGATCTGCTGGGCCGCCAACCACGTCCAACATGGGCAGCTCTGCCGGGTACTTTCTCGGAAGCGTCATGCAAAGTCTCAAAGCGGAGAGGGGAGCATCCGACGCATCATCAGAGACCCCGTCAAGCAGAAGTGGTAAAAACACCACTGAGGTCTCATGGCGTTGCACGCATTCCTCGCCGTACATGGATGACACCATCTCCAGCTCTTCTTCGCGTGCCGCGGCAAGGGACCCACCATCCGCGTCATCCCCAACATCACTATTAGTTTCTTTCCCATCCCCTTCCTCTGTTCTGTTCGCCGCACCTCGCTCCTCCGCCGCGACAGTGGTGCGCTCAATAAATGTTTTTATAGCAATCAGGACATTCTGCAGTTGCGGGATGCTGTGAGCGTGATCGTGGAACGCAAGTTCCGAGTGTGGCTTGCAGGCCTCCGCAAAGGAGCGGCTCTCCGCCGGATCCACAATGGTGTCCTTCGTCCCAATTATATGCAGCGAGGGTACGGCACCCAAAAAGCCGCTTTTACTGCTGTCATGAGGCGGCAGTTGATGAAGATACGATGCCACCAGCTCTGGAAAGACACGGCGTGGGTCCTGTGACGCCGCCATAATAACTCCCTTTATAGGTGGTCCATACTCCGCTCCGTTCAGCTGCTGCAGCATCACGTAGCGAGCCGCAAGGAGGCCTCCCTGGGAAAACCCTAGGAGGATATCGTACGGGGTACTGCCTGTGGTCATACAACGCCGTACCACGTCGTCCCCTACCGCATACACGTCTCTTGCGTCGTTACCCTTAATTTCACACCACGAGCGCGTGGCCACTGCATCACCGTTCACCATATCGTCTGCAAGGACGCAAGGCGCATCCACAAAGTCGAGCCCTGCAACTCCAGAAAGAACTCTGCACAGCTTGTTCAGCTGGTGCTCAAAAATCTCCCCCGTCTGTCGGTTTCCATGAAGACACAAAACTCTCACCATTCAGGCCTTGGACTGGAGTGAAAACAATAGAAGAACCGAAAGAACCGATCTGCTGAGAGAAGCAATAGAAATACACTCGCATACAAGAAAGCAAGAAAAGAAAAGAAAAACGCCGTACTTCCGCTCACTACGTCACCATCTCTCCCCCCATCCCCACACAGTATTATATATTTTTGTTATTGTTGTTTCCCTTTTCGGTTGTTCCTTCACACTTTTCAAGCTGAGAACATGTCTTCAGCGTTGAACAAGTGGTCTTGGTTACAGCCAGGCTGCCTTCACAGCTTCCATGAGAGGAAAAAAAGAAAAGCAAAGGTAGCGTTAGTCATACAGTGTCGTCAAGAGAGAGTTAAGTCCTCAGCTCTAGCAACAGTCGCTCCTCCAGCACATCCAGGTACTCTGAAAGGACAACATCCTCCTCCTCGCTGCTGCGGACCATCTGCAGATACTTTGCGCGCAGCTCCGTGTTCTCCTGCTGCAAGGTCATTAGCATTGAGTACATGGGGTGGTCGCTAAACCCCTTCGTCTTCGCTACCTTTTCGTGCGCCTTGCACGCGCTTCGCTCGCGGGACATGGCACCATCTAAAAGGTGGGCAATCATCGCGGCACGCTCCATGCGTGATTGTTTAAGCGCAGCGCGACAATCCGTCGCGTGCCGGATAGATTCATTTAGATCCGTTCTCTTTTGTAGAGCCTTGCGGAAGGTCGGATCGGCCTCAGCGGCCTTTAAAAAAAGCTTTTGCTGCAACAGTTCCTCATTTTGTTTCTCCTGGCGTTGATAGGTGACCCTCAGCCGCTTTGTGTCCTCCGTGATACCCCGCTTCCGGTGCCACAAATCAGCGTGTTGTTGCCTCAGGGCAGAAAGACCGGCCTGCATGGAGTCTAGTGACGCAATGGCACGGCCAATGAGGTAGTGCAGCTCAATCTCCCTCGCCGTCCCGCCGCTCCCTCGCGCTTGTAGCGCAAAGGTTCCCGGCATGATGTGCAGTCCATGGTCGCTCGCATCTCCCAGTTCCACCCGCCCCCTGTGGAGCGTGGGACCTGTATCCCTAACGGTAGGCAAAGCAGCGGCTGTCCGCGCCTCCTCCAGGTTCTTCTCAAGCTGCATTATCTCCTGTACGAGAAGTGCCTTTTCGCGACGCACCTTTGTGAGGCAGTGCAGCTGCGCGCTCGCCTCGAGACGCCAGCGGTCCACCTCCCGTTGCGAGCGGTCCGCCTGCAGGGTCGCAACATCGGCGGTGCGGATAAGCTCCTCGTCGGCGTTGATGAGAGTTGACTCCACCCCTCCGATCGGTGGGACCTCTGACAAATCATCTGGCGGAAGCGACGCCAAGTCGGTGGTATCTGTGGCAGTCGCCTTTGGCATCGTTTTCTACTTTTTCCGTCGCCCTGCTGTGAGGCCACAGCCAAAAGGCCGCAAAAGCCCGGCACCTCCGCCCCTCACTTCACCGTGTTTCACCCCTACTGCCGCACCCAGCGCAGCAAAGGCAGAAACGAGCCCAAAAAGTACTCTTTTTTTTCCTTTTAATTTTTCCTTCGTGCTTAGGTGTGTGTGTATATGCGGCATTTTGTTGGTGTTGTACAGCAAATTGGAAAGAAGACACATTTTTTTTTCCATTCTTTCTCCGCCTCTTTCGCTGGATGGCGCGAACAGCGCGACGTTGCCTTACCCGCAAGGACAAAGAGAGAGAGAGAGAACGGGAAATAACTTCCCTTTTTACCGGGCAGAAGGGTGCGTGTGTGTGTGTACGTGTGTACGTGTGTGTGTGTGTGTAGTGGGGAGGCCGCAACACCAGCAGCAGCAGCGTCGTACGAGGGTTTTCCACTTGGCCGGCAAAACAAAATTAAAAGAAAACGACGGAAAGGGCTTTTTGTTGCGTAAAGTACGCTGGGACGCAGCCACGGCTCACGTCGCCGTGAGAGAGATGCACTACCGTCACTGCAACCCCCGCATTACTCACATCCATAAAGAAGAGACCGGGGGAAAAGGGAGAAGAGAAAAAACTCAGCACCGTGCGGAGTTGTAGACTCCAAAGGCCCATAGTCCCACATCCACACGCACACCTAGACAAACATGCAGGCACCCTCCGCACGCTCCCATAGAGAAGCAGAGGCGGAAATGCGACCACAAGGGACGGAGCGCGCCCTACTCTCTAGAGCGTCCCCCACTCCATATCCCACTGCTTCTACGCATCCCCGGTTATTCCAAGCCTACGAGCAAGTTCCAGCAGGTTCATGTCCTCACCCAGGTGCGTCACTTCGTCCAGGACACACTCCTTTATGGGTGAATTCTTGTTTTCACCACTTGTCATGCTAGGCTCCGTTCGGGCAAAACCTGCCACCCCGACACACTTCGACGTGTTCTGTGCATCCACTGAAGAAGCAGAAGTACCCTGACTACCACCGCCCCGACGGCGTACGGCCTTGCTTAGCTTAGACGTTGTGGGGGGGGGGCGGTGGTGCCAGACGGACGCGGCCGCAAAAACCAATACAGCAGCTGCATCAGATGACGACATTTCTTCTCGCCGGTTTCGGTTCGAAGGAGTCGTTCGTGACGTCGTGGGGTGCAGGTGCAGGAGAGACGCCTGAAGACTCTTGACCAGTGCGGTTCCGCTGCAGCCCCAGCATCCAACTGATCCCCCGCCAGGAGTGGATGCAGGTCAACTTGCAACTCGGCAAACACGTGACGCCGCACACAACTGGACATCTCATACCGCAAGTACCCGATGGCGGCGAAGTGGTAACCCGAAAAGTAGTCTGAGGCACATGACTGCACTATGTCAACGGCGGTGCGAAAGACGTCCTTCGTGAAGAAGGCGGCCATGTAACGATACACCCGACGTCGCTGCTCTGGCGAGAGTGGAAGCACCGCGTCGAACCAACGTTCATCGCGAGCGCCAGCTGGGCACCTCGGAGCGAGTGCAACGGCGTCACACACGACGGGGCGCACTATCCCTACACGCATGGAACCCATACGGCGGATCAGAATTTCTGGTCTGCGCGGACTCCCACGCAAGGCCCGCGCCAGCGCATTGGTGGCACATAATTCTGTGAAGAGACGTTCCCGCTCCCTGTCGACGTCCAACAAACCCTGCGCCGCAGCGACCTCAGCGCGCGATTGCAGGGCCCAAGCGCAGACACGAGTGTAATCCCCCACAACCTGAAATCCCAGCGACTCCGCCGCCCGCAGAAAAGGCCTCGTCAGTGTGAGACAGGCGCTGCGGCAAACGTCAATGCCAAAGTACTGAACGGCAAACGTGAGAATCCGAAAAAACATCCCGGAGGCGAATGCGTCCTCAGAAGTCATCGTCAGTGAAGCAGCTACTAGCAGTGGAGGCAACACCACATCTTGCTGGGAGTCATGGTGAGTGACAAGCTCACTCACGCCAAACACAGAAAGGATCAGAGCATTTTGGCACCATGGGACTCGCACCCATGACAGCAGCGTATTCTCAAGCTGGTTGTCGTCAGCAATGACGACAACTGTGCGCGGCGAGTGTGGAAGGCCGAGGGAGGACCACGACACAAGCAGCTCTCGTATGGATGCATTATCGCCAAGGGAGGACGCGTAAGAGTCACCGGTGCACTCAAGAAACAGACAAGAGCAGCCGTGCGACGCCGCAACCAAGCCGTCCTCCGCGTCCACCTCCACCACATGCATGCATTTTTTCCAAAGCAACTCGTTCTCCTCACTGCCGGCCTCCTCGCCCACGGGAGGGCCAAAAGGAGCAGCCCTCGCAGTTCTGTCATTCATATCCTTCATCGCCACGTGCATGTATTTCTTCCAAATCAATTCATCCTCATCTCCATCACCCTCACCATCATCGTCGTCACTCTTCTTGTCGTCTTCGTTGTCATGTTCAAATACAAGTGGCTTGGCAGGACTCACATGACTCTCTTCACTCCCATTGTTCACGGTCTGAAGGTTCTCAAATGCATGCCTCCCGCACAACGTCCAGAGGGGCTCTGCCAAGCCACTGAGATTCGTCTCCGCGGTCACATGGTGCACGGCCTCCCTCCCCGCCTTTGAAGCCTCCTGAAGCAGCCCTGGTACGACGGCAGGGTCCACAAGCACCGTCACTCTGGGGGCTGACAGAGTAGAGGCGGAAGTAACCGCAAGGTCCCACCATGCATCACGGACCTCATGTGGATGTGAGGAACCCTTAGTGTCAAGGATGCCTGTAAAATCCACCCAAAAAGTTGCCTGTGATGCATTTGGGGAAAGCGACTGTGCGGCATCGATAACCTGCGCAGCGCGTCGTTGCACCGCCACACGATCCACCGCCTGTCGCCACTCCTTTGTCAGTTGTACATACACTACGGACAGCGTCCGATCATCCTCTATCCCCTCTACCTTGACATCCGTGAACAACAGCACTGACCCAACTCCATCACGCCCTCGCGCTTCCTCCTCCTCCTCGTTGTGGTTGTAGGCTGGAGAGCATCGCGGTACCGGAGAAGACTGCAGGTGCTTCAAAAAGTCAGTGCGCGAGAGGAGAAACCGCAGAACGGGGCCGTTAAAACTGGCGTCGCTGTCAACGCTTGCGAGTCCCGTGTCACCGCCAGGAGGGCCGTCGACGAATACAATCATCACGCCGTGAAAGTCCTCGTGAGTCCCCGCCTCCCCGTCAACCTCGCCGTTGGGGGCTCGCCAAAGCCTCTGCGGGTCAAAGGCCGCGTACGCCGCCGTCTCCCCTTTCGCCGCCGCCCAACCCTTATCCTCAGTCTCGTTGGTGTCCAGCAGCTCCATGAGGTCGACGGTAAGTGCGCGGCGGTGGCTTCCGGGCGTAGAACGCGATTGGTGCGAAGGCGAGGAAGTGGCAGGACTGGTGGTGGGCTCCATGCCCTCCCTCTCCCCTCCGTATTCCCTTCACGTTCTTCGCGTCGGCATCCATGTGAGCGCAACAGCAAGCAAAGGCGGAAAAACAGGAACAAGTCAAAGACACACACACGCATGCAAATACGCATACATGTGCATGTACATCACAACAAGACAAAAAAATGTGCCAGTGCGTCGGGAAAGGAATAAACGCGGCAGGGGAAGTAATTCTTTCCCGCGTCTCCCGCAGAGTAGGGGAAGCACACACGGAAAAAGAAGTAAACAATAAAAATTTAAAAGTACACAACAACAACAACATAAGACCGACCAACAGAGAACAAGAGAGAACAAATAAACAACTTCCACTTCCCAATAATTATCGGTCATTGTTCATTCCTCTCACGCAAATAAAAACGGAACGTGCTTGTATTCCTTCCTTCCTTCTCCCTCTCACAGCACAACTCCGGATTTGGGCAACGCAGGTGCGTGCATGCATGTGTGCAATTGACCACCGCCGATGGAACACCGTTAAGGCTCGAGGAAAACTCCCTCATCCGCAAGCGCATCCAGCCAAATACATGCGGATAAAAGAGTTTCCTCATCTTTAAATAATAATTACTATAATAATAAGCAATCAGGTTTTATAACTGGGCTGCTTTCGTGTCTCTATGCGTCCCCCTTCCTCTTCCTCTTCTTCTACTTCTTCTTCCGGACGTGAGGCAAGCAGTTGTTGAGACCACAAGACCCTGTAAAGGCCGCATGTTTCCAAAAGTTCATCGTGTGTGCCGCTCCCCGCCAAACCTCCTTTACCGTCCAGGACAAAAATCTTGTCGGCGCCCTTGACAGTACTGAGGCGATGTGCAATGAGGATTATGGTACGGCCCTTCCTACCCCTCTCACGCAGCTGCTGCATCACACGCATTTCCGTCGCGGAGTCTAAGGCCGAGGTCGCCTCATCCGCCAGGAGTATAGGCGGGTTTTCGAGAATAACGCGTGCAATGGCGACACGCTGCTTTTCTCCTCCAGAGAGCTTCAGCCCACGTTCCCCCACGCACGTGTCGTACTGCTGACTCATCTTCATGATGCTGTCGTGGATGCTCGCCACACGAGCGGCCTCCTCCACCTCCTCATCGGTCGCGTCTAAACGGCCGTACCTGATGTTGTACCGCACCGTTTCGTTAAACAACACCGTGTCCTGTGGAATAACCCCAATGGCCTTGCGCAGACTACTCACTTGCAGCTCCGTCATTGGCTGACCATCGATAAGAAGAACACCAGCGGAGGGGTCATAGAAGCGGTACAGCAGACGAAAAATGGTGCTTTTCCCACTGCCCGAGGGGCCAACAAAGGCCACAGTGCTGCCGCCTGGGATAGTGAGTGAAAGATTATGAAGAACGCATCTTTCAGCGCCGTGTTCGTCAAAGCGAAAGCACACATCTCGTAACTCAATGGTCCCAGAAGTAAGCTTCAGTGGACGCGCGTCCGGCTTCTCCTTAATGGTGCTCTCAATGTCAAGCAAAGCTATCATGGCCTGCATATTTTGCGTTGAGGATTGTACCTCACGGTAGATCATGCCGAGAAAACTAAGCGGTGTGTACAGTTGCATCAGTAGTGCGTCCACAAGCACCATGTCCCCCACTGTCATCACACCAGCCACCACTCCGCACGTTGAAAGATACAGGCACGTCAGCGCGGCAAGCACAAATATAGCCTGCTGGCCAAAATTCAAGACCGCCATGGATTGATCCAGCCTAGCAAGATCACGGTTTGTCTTCATCGTCTCGTAGCAAAGACGCTCCTCCTCGTAGTCTTCCCTCCCAAAGTACTTCACCGTCTCGTAGTTAAGAAGGGAATCCACCGTCAGGCCCCCAACACGGCTGTCACCCTTGTTGTAGCGCTCACGGTACACGGCACGCCAGTTGGAGACAACATACGTCCAGCCAATGTACGCAAATACAGCTGATAACGCCGTTAGGATAAAACTAAGGCCTGCGCTCGTTTGCAGTGCCGTGCAAACAAGCACCACCTCAAACGCGGTAGGAACAATCAGGAATAGCAAGGCGTAGGCAAGGGCCCAGAACGCGCGGCTACCACGATCAAGGTCTTTACTTAAAACTCCTGTTTCACGGCCCAAATGAAAGTGCAAATCCAGCGAGTGCAGCTTGCGGAACATCTCCATGGCTATCGTGGTAGATGCGTGGCTGCCGACCGGGGCAAACAGCGCGGTTTTGAGTTCTTCGCTCAACGAACTCGTCAGTCGGGTGATGCCGTAGGCGGCGACCATCCCAAAGACGCCAAGCTGCCATGGGCCCAGAGTGACCACCGCCTCGGCAACGTTGTGGCCGGGTGCGAGGGCATCTATAACCATCTTGAACCAAAACGGCACCGCCACCTTGAGCACCTTTGCCGCAATGACGCACATCACGCTGGCAACCACTAGCGCCCGGTACTTTGGCTGCCCGGGTGGCCACAAGTGCCGCATCACGTGCGTCACCACACGGTACACAGGGATCTTCAGCAGAGCCTCCTCTGTGATGATTGAGCCTCCCCCCGCCGCTGTTTTCGCCTTCACCGCCGCTTTATGTGTCCTAGGGTGTTGTTGTTTTTGCGGCAGCTGCGCGGCCTCCCCGGCTTTCCGCCCCTGACTCTCCACCTTGAGCGTCCTTACGCCCCCCGCCGCCACGGCCTTCTTCGACGGCTCCAACCAAAGACAAGTCGTGCGGTGAACCAGGCGCTTGCATGTCCACAACGACGGCGACACGGCGGACATGGGCTGTGGGTGGTGGTCACTGAGCGCAGTTGCAGCGAGGGTCACCTGGCGTCCCCCCAGCACCCCAGTGCCCCTTCGCCAGTGTATCAGCCCCAGCTTGAAGGGGGCGACGCGCCACATGAGCGGCAGAAGAATAAGGTAATGAAGCAACCTCGTAGCCTGGCACGTCAAAAAGACAAGGCAGAAAAAAGTAACAAAAAAAAAATGGAGGAGGACCGGAGGGGTCGCTTAAGCCCACCGTGGCAACGACAGCGCACAGCAGAGATGGCAGAGAAACAGAATAGCAAAAAAAAAAAACGAGGTGACAGCTGCATTAAGGAGAGAAAGGTAAGCCTCTGCACAAAGCGAAAAGTCCACAGCAAGAGGTAGAACAAGGCAGAAAGAGGAGCGGACAAAGGCGCTCAGCCCGCATGCAGAGATCCACTGGCACACGCACACACTCACCAACTGCGAGGCACAAAACACATACATGTTGTACTCACTCACCCGCTAAGACTTGGGTGGGTCAACTGTGTAAACGTCGATTCCCTCCTGGCGAAGCGCCGACGGGGGATGCGGAAAAGTGCAGGAACGGACGGCATCTCCTTCACTGTTTCCCCGCACGCTAGACGCTGGCAGCAAGCCTCCAAAAAATCCAGTTCGTAGCGGGTGAGGGAGGCGGTCGTGTACCAGATGCCGGCATCTGTGTGCGGGCCAGCGGCGCCGTCCTCATCCACAACGATGGCGCGGAAGAATCCGGCGCGTATCAAGTGTGGAGCCAAGGCATCCGCACCGCTAAGGATCAAAGTGCCATCACGTGTCAACTCCAGTGAGAGGGACGAGCCCGGAAAGCTCCTCACGAGCGTCCAGTCCTCCCTCTCAAGGCCACATTCATTGCAGCCCTCCACCTCACCCCCCTCGTTCTTTAGTAACGTTCTGGTACAACAAGGGCAGTGTGCTACCCACAAGCGGACTTGACTAGGCAAAACCCGAACCATCCGCGTGGGCTCCACGTAATGAACGACGCAAACCTCGTCGTCATCGTCGTCGTCGTGTGTCAGAGAACTACAAGTAGTGGGAAACCCCAGGGAGGGGGGATCCGGGGCATCCTCCGAGTGTCGCTCCCGTTTGACACGGGCGAGTCTAACATCTGACGCTGTTGGGGCCGAGGATGCGGAGTCGGTGGAAAGCGTTAAAGACACATTGCCGCCAGCTTCGTTTGGCGCCTGCGTCGATTCTATGATTTCCGTCACTTGTTGCTTCTTTTGCTCGCGTGAGGCATCCCCGCTGCGATAGCTTCCATCGGGGTGCAGCACAAGCATGTGTGTCCCCGGTGGCATCTGTGACAAGACGTACAGCTGCCAACAGTCTATCTGAAGCGTTGAGGCTGCCACACGCTTCTCACACACAGGGCACGGCGCCCTTGGGTCTCGCATGGAGCGATACTTGTCTAGCAGCGAGATCCACGACTCCAAATCGCAACACTGCAGATGTTGACAATCTCTGCTTCGTACCGGGTACCGCAATTCTACGCGGGAATAAGGACAAATGAGGGAAATTTCTATCGTCGAGACCTCCACCTCATCTCCACCTGGCTGCCCAAACGCCATTTCCCACGCCCGCTGACGATGCGCTTGGCGGAGCTTACTTCCAACACTTTTACTCACTCTTACTTCGTCAAGAATGCGTTGCCGCACATCCAGTAATGTCTGTGAGACCAACGTTTTGGGCTTCGGCGCCTTGTCACTCTCCACACGACTCCCCCAGGCGTGAGCCCCATCACGAGCAGAACTTAAAAAGTCTGTCCACAAGCTCAATGCCCTATTGGCCCCCCGCGTCGCTGGGCGCGGCGGCATCCACAAAACCCCTGGCGTAACTATTCGTGTTCGTACGAAAACACTTCCTTCGGTTTTTCACCTTTTTATTGTACTTGTTTGTTTTGTTCTTGTCTTCGTTTCCTTTTGTTTTTTTTGTTTTTTTTTTGCTTTTGTTTGGCGTCTTCGTATAACTCTCTCTATCGTCGCCTCTACGACTTCCGTTCCTTTTTGTTCCACCTAATTTTTCTTGCAGGCTCGTTAAGCTCCCTCGCACCGGTGCCGCTGCCCAAAGCGAGGGGCCAACAGCCACACGCACAAAGAGAGAAGGGGGGGCCCACAACACGGCCTGCGCAGAGAAACAAGAAGAAGGAGGATTCATTGCGTCGCAGCATGCCCACAAATACACACACACGCATACACGCACGCGCACCGCCACGAACACATGATGAAAAGAACGAATAAATAAGCAGAAATAATTAAAAAAATAAGAACAAATCCAGCCAGCCAATCCAAGAAACATAGTGGCTCACAAAGTGCCGCCTGCGGCAAGAGCCTGTGCACCGCTAAGAGGAGAGGAGAGAAGAAGAGGGGGTGGAGTCGTCAACTCAGTGAGGCATCCAGCAGTGTTCGCCGGCCGTACACAGACGGACAGACAGAGATTGAGAAAGAGACAAATAAATGTCAACCAGGACAAAGGAAAAAAAAAAACAGACATCCGCTTTTGCTGCTGCTGCTGCTTACATTCCGTGTATTCTGGTTGCTGGTTCATGCCAGGGCCGCCCCCCCCCCCCCCTCATTATTTCTCTCCTTTTTCTCGTCCGCTCGAGTGGTGCCCAAGGCAGAGATGGCCCTTCGTCGGCACCCACCGCCCAGGGATCAGTCGTCGCGGAGGACGTACGCCCACCTGCCCCGCTGCACGCCGTAGACAAGGAGGGAGAGGCACCAGGCATAGTAGACTCCCACCAACGGGGTGGGTTGCAGCAGGGCCTTTGTGCGAAGGCCGTGAAGCACAAACTGCATGAACGCACACGTAGCAGCAATAGACACGTACGCGTTGGAAAGCGTGGCATCAAATGGGTAGACGTACGCCGCCACAGCGGCAAGTGTGGTGTTGAAGGTCCCCGTAAAGAGCATCATGCGGCGCCGCGTCGAATATCATGCATACAGTGAACCGACCGCATTAGCCATGGAAAATAGGGATGCATGATACACGAACGGGATGAAGTACATCGTTGGTGACCGTCACCCGCCTTAGGGGAGTGGGGCTGGGCAGAAAGCACCCACGCCGGCTCGTGACTCTGTCAGCCCAATTTTTTTTCTCATTAATGGCCGACAAACCAAGATGCGAAACGAAGAAGAAGAAAACAGACGTTTGAAAACAACACACACACACACAACCAAAAGAAAAAAAAACATGGAACTAACAGTAATGGCGCATGAATGGGGTGAACTTGTGCGTTGCGTGTTTCGTGTGCCTTCACTCTCGCACGTTCCCGTTCGCCCCCCTACTTGAGCCTACAAATATCCAAAAGAAGAAATTCTGCCACCTTTACACATACCGGCCTCCCTGTGGTGACTGCGACACAGATGACACACATGCAAACGTATACTCTCATGTGCAACGGAGAGGCGGGATAGGGTAAGGGAGGAAAATAAAAAGGAAACACCTCTTCTACCTCAGTTGGGAAGGCACGCCCCGGATGAGGCAAGAAAGACGGAGAGCGAAAGTCGCTGCCGCCACAATGGCGCCGTAAGACCACAAGAAGGCGAGCCGTCGTCCCTAGAACCTCCATCCGAATCTCTGTCCCTCTCGGCCTCAAGGGCAGAAGGGGAGTAGGCCTCTAAAAACAACGGGGATTGACTTGGGCTTGCAACAAAGACTTCGTCGTCGGCGCCTGTCGCACCCCCAGACATGGATCGGCTCCGTTTCCCTCCCAACTGTGAGGAGCGACCCGGAGACTTTCCGCTAGAACGCGTGGGCGTGCCAAACAAATCGCTAGAAATTAGCGCCGACTCGCCGGGAAGTACGCCGTATGAAGTCTCCAAAAGTGGGGCAACTGCGTCGTAGCAAGCAGAGGCCTGGCCAAAGACAAGATTCGGCCTCCGTGCCTGTGTAAGAACAACATTGTAAGCAAGCAGTGCAATGCGTGCAAGAAAGGGTTCCGCCCCGTGGCGCCACGTTGTTTCCAACACAAGCCGCGTGGCAAAGCGGAAGTAGGGGGATAACGAGTGTATTTCCTCACGACGCAGATTCCGTGCTAAGACGGGTGCATCACGGCGTGAGGTGGATGCTCTTCGCCTTGCCCCTCTTGACCACAAGCGCCCGTTGCCGGTCCTGTTGCACGTGAGGAGCGGCACGTCGAACGCCTGCGGCACCAAACACTCCGTCAACCACGTAAACCATCGCCCCACACTGCTGCTGTTCGCATCCGCGTGTTGTTTGAGGCGCAACAGCTCTACGAGAAGTGGCAGTAAAGGAGCCGTGGTGTCCCGCTGCCCAGACGCACGGCCTCGGCCGCGCTCACTGAGGGCGTCGTCAAGCGTCTCCACCACAACGCCGTACAGAACGGCACTATAACTGGAAATTTGGCAAACACACTCCATCACTTGCTCCTGCAGCGGACGTAGACTAGAAAACGGCGTGCCGCCCTCAAGCAGGGCAGAGAGGTGTAGTAAGCAAGTGCATATGGCTTGAACGTCTTCGAGTTGCGAGGCCCACGCCGTTGCACGCACCACCCCCCTCACGGTCGTAGGGCAAGTCGACTCACGGGCAAAATTGGGCTCCGTCAAGCACCCCAGAACCTCCAGACAGTAACCCAAACGACGCAAAGGTGAGTCCTGCACCACCGTCAGTGGTGTTTTCTCCCCGCGGACTCGCTTGAGCTCCGATTGCAAAAAATAAGCGTCTTCGCCTGTGCTTCGCAAAGGTGAGTGCAACTTCGTGGGCGAGGATGGAGCGGCGTCCTCGCTTGTCATGAGACGCATAGAGTCTGCCACCGCCTGCGTCAGCTCGCTCCGAAGCGTCTGCAGTAATCCCTCGCCAGTCATCCGGTCCAGCACACGAGCCCGCAGCTTCGGCTCTGCAAACACCGACATGCTAACGAAGGCAGCCAAACTACGCAGAGGCAAGCCCTTCGTCATGGCACCAAACCCGGTTCGACTGGACATCATCTCCGTCATCAGTCTTCGCTTTTTCTCGTGCAGCACGGCGGCGATGCCGTCGTACTTGGCTGAGCACACAGTGGGTGGCAACGCTGCATCCAATAAAAACTCCAAGAGATAGCACTCCCGCAAAGCAAGCAAAAGCGGCAACGTTAGCGAAAAGGATTGCCAGTGTGACACAAGTTCATTCAGCTCGGCATCAATATTGCGCCATCCCCTGTCAGAGGACAAAGACTCTAATTTTCGGCTCTCCGAACACACAAAGCACAGCAACTGCAGGAGTGTCACATTTGACGTTGTCATCGTGCGCAGCGATGGTGACTCGTTGGCGTACACCAATAGTGATTCCGCGCACCTGCCCATAAGCTGGACCAAGCGTTTAGATGGGCTGTGCATTGGAACACGAAAAGACGATGACAAAGCAAAGGAAGGGCGTCGCACCACCGGCAACTCAGAGGCGTGGCCGCAGGTGGCCAAGTCGCGCGTGGCGGTTGCTGCTGAACGGGAGGAGCCAGCAGAGCTCACAAGTGTTGTATTCGGGAGGTGCCGCGTATCCCGCCACGTCAGAGCGTAGCCATCGCACAGAAGCCTCAACGCATCCAACGCTGCCTTCCTAGTCCGCAAAAGGGACTTCGCATCAAAGTTCCGCACCATTGCAAGAAACTCACGAGAAGTTAGCTGTTTATCCTTATCCACAGCCGTAATCTTCGAGGACGCCGCGCCTTCAACAGGAGAGGAGGATACAGCGTTACTGTTGTCCGTGCCCGTTGTCACAGGGCGTTGTCTACCGGGTGTCTCGGTCCCCGCATTCCATGAGAAGTCGTCCTGTTCGCCATCGGCATCTTGTTCGCGCGGCGAGTGCGTCGGCGATCCGCTTGGCGAAGGGTACGCCATGACGATAACATCCTCCTCGGTGAACGCCGGCTGAGCAGCCACCAGCTTGGCGTGCAGCTGCCGCAACGCAGACAACAGGTAGTGGTCCTCATCGTTTTGCTCCTCCGCGTCCGTAGGGCTATTTTTCCCGATGCCTTTCCACGCCTCGATCATGTGTCTTTTTTTTCTGCTACTTAGTTTCCTTATTTTGCTGCGTTTCCGTCGAGGATGGGGAGTTGGGGGGGGGGGGGGGGGGGGCCTGTCGCTGCCTCACCTGCTCCCCTCCCTCCCTCTCAGCAATGCGGGTCGCGTCCACGCCACACCCACCCAAGCACGGGGCCCTTCTCTGCGAAGCAACAACACGGAGAAAGGGAGTAGAGGCAGCCGTGCCACCAACTCAAAGAAGGGCACACAAGATGCAAGCAGCGCAACGTCGTGCTGCTGCCCTCTACACACACACACACACACACACACACAGGGAGAGGGAGAGGAACTTCTCAACCGTGCCAACAAGCAAAAGGAAACCAAAGCACCCTCCACCCCGCACTGTGACACAAAGACCACATGATCTGAGTGCTGTGGGGGAGCGACAAAAAAAAATCCTCTACCTTCGAAACGGCTGTCACCCAAGCAGAAAGGGCAAGAGTGAACGGCAATGCCGAGCTTGTGAAAGCCACTGCTACAGGCAACGCCACCAAACACACTCACACACATGTGCTGGCCTTTTAGTTGCGCTGGCAGTGTGACCGCCCCCAGCAAAGAGAAGCAGAGCACATCCATTGTCACTGTTGTTGTTGTTTTTTTCGTTAGAGCAGCATGCGCAGGCGGGAGCGAGAAAGAAAGCCAAGGCAAGGGGAAGGAGCAAGTGAAGGAGGAGGGAGCAAGGGTGCTTGCAGAGCAAGAAACAAGGAAGGGAGACCTCGTAACGGAACTAGAAAAATAAGAGAAGAAATGTTTTCTTTTGAACTCGTGTATTGCTCCAACAAATCCGCTCGCACCCACCTGCAGTACTGCCACTCACATAAACATTAGAAAAAAAAAAGCGGTAAAGCCTCAGTTCAAGGAAAACGATAGACACTGGGTGGGCTGGGCAGGCTCTAACAACTGACGCCTATGCACTTCCTCCTCAACGCGCTCGCGTAGCTCATACAGCATGGCCGCACGAACAACCTTGTCGAGAGCGCACATACAATCTAGCGCCCTCCACGTCGCCGCCTCCTCGTTGCCCATGTCGTGGTTGTTTTCGTCCGTGGGGGAAGCGCCAAGCACACGTGTGCGATCCACGCAAAGATACTCGCACATCTGTGCGCGGTAGCTGGGATTCAGGGATAAGCAAAACAGCTCCCCAGCCTCCCGCAGAAGCGCGTCGCCAAAGCAGGAGTCCCGTGATCCAACGTCTTCAGCAACAACGTCGTTGGTGCTGACCGCATGCCTGCATGTCTGGCATGTTACCCTGGTCCCCGCCAACACCTCACTTAACGGCAACCAGTCGTTACAGCCTTGCTCCGGGCATGTCACCTGCACCGTCCGCTGCAAGCCACGGTAATCCTGCAACAACCTCGACATGACGTTCTCGACCTCCCCAAGAACGGCCTGCGCACAATGCGGCCTCGTCTCTGTAGAAAAAATGTGTATCACTCGAAACCCTTCACGATACAAAAAGACGCGGCAGTAGTCCCCAGCGAGCCACATGGCATCCCTCCATCGGTTGTGCTTCTCATCCGCCCCGAGAAGGCGGCGGTCGTCCAAGACGTCCCCGTCCCGGGCGTCGGCGAAGACCCCAGGCGCCTCGTACACGACGACGACCTTCTGGTGTCCCTGCAGTTGGGCCTGGAAGCGCCACCATATCTCGTCCGGAAGGAGATTAAACTCGAACTTTAGCCTTGTCCCACGGTTGAATAGCAGCGGTGCAAGCCGCCTCAGTCTCTCTGGAACATTAAATGGGGAAAGACTCGGCACAAAGTAGCGTGTGAATTTTGCCTCGCGAACGAGCGGCCGCCCCACCTCAAGGTCAATCGGTGTCTCCTCCTGCAGCAGCGCAAACTTATCGCATGGGATAACGACAGGAACGACAAGGCTCAAGGAGATGAGGAAATGCACGGCCAAGGTGTAGTCCAATTCATCCGGCTCATGACCCAAAATGTCGCGCAGTGGAGTCCGGAACAAAACCCGAACCAAGGGCCAGCGAAGAAACCCTTTGTTCATGAGGTGCATGTCGGCCGACTCAGCAACGCTTACGGTGTATTCGAGACGCCCAATCATGCTACGCAGATGCAGTGGTGTCCGAAGAACGTGGGCGTAGGAAAACAGCGCGGCGGCAAGGCGACTCAGCCAAAGAGGACGCAGCATGATAAAGATGTTATCCGACAAACAGTACGCATTAAAGAAATAAATAATGTCCCAGCTGTGCATAAGTCGAGCGACTCGAAGTAACTCGTCACCCGACTTCACGCCCAACTTCACCGCAGAATTAATGAACTCTCCCAAGGGCAGCAGCAACTTATGTTGAAATTCTTTTCCCTTGCTAGTCACCGACTCAAGAAGTTTCAAGTCACACCCTGGAATAGCAGCGGCGGGAAACTCCTTGTCGTCCATGCATTCTTGGTGCGCCACCTCCGCGAAGAACCGCAGCAGGGCACTCAGACGCTGACCTGACAAATGCCGCAGCTCCCCAGCCGCAATTACTTGGCGTGTCTTACACGACACAGCAAAATTACCCACAATTTCATTCGTAACGGTAGTGCCCGTGTTGGGGTCTGTGATGGCTATGCGCTGCATGAAGCTTATGAGTTTCCCCTCCACCTTTGATAGGATCCGCTCCACGCTACGCTGCTCCTGGACCCGGAGCTCATCCAGGTGGGTGGCCACCAGCGCTATCTTGGCCCGCGGAAACTTGGCGTACACCTCCGCGATCCACTTGTACAGGCACTCCTCCTCGTTCACGCAGATACCAGAGCCCTGAAAGTCCTGCTCAACGGAGGATATCTTCCACACAAGTAGAAATATAGATCGATCCGTGAGAAAGAGCGTGTGTGAGTGGTACGACTCCTGCCCCGCAAAATCCGAAATGACGAGCTGCACCCAATCCTCACCAACACGAATATTTTGGCGGCAAGCCTCCACACCTGTCGTCGTCCTCACTTCCGGCAGTCGCTTCAGTAACAACGGCTCCGACTCCAAGCACTTCCGAAAAGACGTCTTTCCAACCTCCTGATAACCTAGTAAAACAAGCTTCCTCCGAAAAATCTGTTTGTTGGTAAGGCGCCCCTCTGTTACTTCAATCTGTTGGACCCCTTGCAACATTGAGTCTTGCCATTTGGGATCCACGTGGTGTGGTTTGGCGTCCAAGCAACGAGCATGCGAGACACCATGGCAGTCGTGAGTGGCGTTTACAGAATCGTTGATGAGATACCGAGACAGCAGATCCTCCATCCCCGTGACGTTCAGCCACAGCAGCTTCTCATGCACACCTTGAAGCTTGAGTGCATCAACAGGGTTTTTGTGCACACCCGCAGTGGAGATGTATTTTGCCCACTTAGCACAAGAGGACGCTTCAGGAGACATGCGGTGGTGCCGCCCTTCGAGTGCCGTTGACGCATCAGACCATGGCGCAGCATTTATAAGGGACTGATCGTGAATTTTCTCCACGAATGCAGTCTCACGTGAAGTTCCATCGGGCAGAGGAAACGGGCCCGCAACAGCTTCTTCCGCATTCACAGTCAGTGGACCACACCCTCCCCTGTCACTGCGTCCCTCATCCTCCGTTATCGTCCCCGCGGCAGTCGTTTGGAGAAACGATGCATGCGCATCATCATCCAGGGGGCAAGACCAAGATATATGCGACCGTCCCCTCTCACCGGATGGTGGCGTCAAAAATACGGCGTGGTCCTCATTCGTTTCTCCCAGAGTGCCTCCTTGAGAAGCATGAAAATCGTACATCTTCCCTCCTCCTGAAGCCGAATGTAACGCAGCATCAGCCGTAAAAGACATGAGATTCAGAAGTACGCACAACACACGCACCAAACAAAAAAAAAAACCTTTAAAGGCGTCCTCTGCCAACGCGCTAGAAATAAGTATCTCTGCACGCAAAACACAGAATTACGCAAAAATATTATATGCCTTAATTTTCCCTTAAAGATGAGAAGAGGAAAGCATACACATTTTCTACTTATCCGTCTTGCCTTCACGAGCACAAAGAAATGTGACAAGGTCTGCATATTCCTCCAGTAGTGAATAGAAAGAAGGAGACCAAGCCGATCCCCCATCGCTCACACTACATTTGGTGCTGACGGCGGATGGAGGCGCGGAAGGGCGTTTTTGCACTCGCAAAAACCGCCTCGAGAACAAAGTCATTTTTTATTATTATTTTTAGGCTCGTCTGCGACACCGCGGAGGTCCCCGGACCCGCGCCCCAAAACGACCCCTCCCTGCCTGACGTGGGGCTCCACCGGCACACCTCCCCGCGCATAGCGCACACAGTTCCCCCACACACCCAAAGACTGACCAGGCACCGCACCCATCGTGCATTCCTCACTGCATCGTCAGAGGCACAAGTACGCTCCTGCGGGCGCATCCCCGCCACCCACGGGCGCCTCTCTTGAGCCCCTCAATGCTGCCTGCAGACCAACTCTCGGCCTATCTCCTTTTGGTTTCTTCGTGCATTTCCACACCGCTACGCAGAAGCATCCGAATGTCCGTGCTGCGTGGAGCGTCGCAAAAAGGCCAAATTCATAGCTTTGCCTTGGCCCCGACCATGCAGCGCGTTCATCATCCACCACAGCGGACGCGCCAAACACGTAATCGCTCGGATATGCACTGGTCAAAGGGCAAACGTCAAGTGAAGACGCCGTTGGAGCAGTTCAGCGGCCTTAATCTTCCTTCAGCAGCGGCAGCTGCCACCCGCCCAACTCCAGAAAGTGTGGGAAGTGTCGTGGGCAGCGTGCGCTGCAAGCACTGGCACGTAAACGCACCTGCCCTTTCAAAAGAATATGCCTTGCCGCAAACTACACGTCATGATGCATCTGAGAGAAGTGAGTATTATTGGAGCATTAAAAATCATTTGCCCCAAAGAGCAGACATCACAACTTGCCATTCGTCTACCACAGACTCTCACAACAACTAACAGAAAAAAAAAAAATGTATTAATATGCGCCTCTTGGACCCGCACCTTTTTCATAGTGTGACTGCCCTAAAAAAACTTTTTAAAGGGAAGAAGCAGGAGGAACGCAAAGAAAAGTGGCACTTGGGCAACGAGAAGAGGACAACGCGTCCCCACCAACCGGGGGCCACAGGACCCCCTCTGCAGGCGGAATGTGCAGGTGGGGGCGGCGCCGAGGGCCCTTCGGTGACTTTGCTCCACGCACTCAGAGACGCTGATGGAGAAAAAGACGGAAAAAGAACAGTACCGCCGTCAGAACGACGCCGCAATTGCCGCCTCAGAAACATATTGCCTTTCCTTTGCTTCTGCAGTCCCCTCCCTCTTTTTCTCTGGTTGCTTCCTCCGCCACCCTGCACACTGACGATCCCCTTTCCCACTCACAAGCAGCAAGGCATCCCTGCACTCAGCCACGACATTGCATGCACTTCCCCGTTCCCC